CGGGTCACCATAACCCTGTCAGAAGTGCCAAGGTACTGAGGTGAGAAAGCTAAATGATGAGGGTTGTAGGGTCGTGGAATGAAGATCGCAGGCGACAGTGGTGAGTGGCCCCCAGGGTGCGGGCGACAGGGTAGAGGGTCTGGACTGACAGTGACCAGGCAGGTAAGTTGCTGCCGGGGCAGGTCCCGTGATTTTGGGGCTGGGATAATGAGCTGGGCGACGTCACTCACGTCGGCCCAATAGCGCCCTCACAGCTCAGGAGGGGTGGGCCTGGCAAGATCTCAAAACCTGAATTATTTATTCAAGGATCTGGAAAGCCAGCAAGGGGGGGCATTTCCCCGAAGCAGCAGGAGATGGGGAGCCAGGAAGAACTTGGATGCAGAAAACCTGGCAGCTCGGCCCTCAGGCCAGGCCCCTCTCAGCCTCTCATCTTAGGCATCCTGGTGGGGTGTGGCAGGGAGAAAGCTCCTTCTTCCCCATCCCTGCCTACCCTAAATCCCAGGGAACCACCCCAGCAGAGTTCTCCAGGTGCAAATGATGTGGTCAGTCCTGGGGCAGGGGGCTAGCTGCTCCTTCTCCCCATCTCTAGCTTTGATCCAGGGGTCACCCAGGCCTGTGGGAGGGGGTAGGGAAGGGTTCAGGTTGAGACTTGAGGAGACCAGTGGGGCCCAGACCCCACTGACTTGTCCCCCATCACACCCCACTGCAGCTCCCGCAGTCAAGGTCCACCAGGCAGGTTCTGGGCTTGGGTGCAGGGCAGGGGGAAGGCCCAAGTGGCAAGGAATATGGGGAGAGGAAAGGGTGCGGCTGGGGAAGGTGATGACTTCAGGCTGGGGGTGGTGAGGTTAGGGTGCTTAGCAGGTGGAGGTGGTCAGGAGTGTAGATTGGATTCAAATCCCAATTCCTCCATTCCCTAGCTGTGTGACTCTAGGGAGTTTCTTCAGCTCTCTGTGCCTATTTCCTCATCTGTAAAAAAGGGACAATATTAGCACCCACCTCCTAGGACTGTTGGGAAGGGCCACATGTCATCAGCACTAGCTGTGCTGGCTGTGGATGGCACAGTGGGCCAATGAAGGACCCCTGGGAGGCTCAGACGTGCAGCTGGTGCCTGGATGACATCACCCGGGGGGAGCAGAGAGTGTGGAGGGGCCTCAGGGAACCTCCCATCGAAGGCACACACTGGGAACAAGGGTGCTTCTGCCCCTGGGCCTTTGCACTGGTCGTTCCTTCTGCCTTGGACTCCTCCCCTTCATCCAGGTCTCTGCTCCCAAGTCCCTTCTGACACAGGCTTCCCTGACCTCCACCCCAGATCACCACTTCCCTCCCCTCACTCTCCCTCCCTTCTTTTGGGTTATTAGTTTTCAGAGCATGAAACTCTCCTGAAATCATGTTTACACACTTTTGTTTTTGCTCTGTGTCAGCCCCACCAGAACATAAGCTCCATTAGGGCAGTGACTATGTCCTGTTTTCTGCTGGGAAACAGTGCCTGACGTGTGATCAGTGCTCAACAATTATTTGGTGACTGGATGATTAAAAGGAGCGGTCAGAGAGAGAGAAGTTCACAGAGAGCGGTAGGATGTCTGGTGTCAAGGAAGTGGGGGTATCAGGAAGGATGCAAGGGCATCAGCACCCTGAGCTCCCCCATCAAAGGTGGGTCCCCACAGAGCCCTGCGGGGGTCTCAGAGGAGGGTGAAGTTTGGCACAGAGGGGTGTTTCAGAGACAATCTTCTGCTATTCTGAGTGGCAGTGATTTATTTTATTTTTATTATTTTTTAAAAAATTTTTAATATTTTTAAACTCTAATCCCGTGACAAATTAGCAGTGATTTTTTTTTTTTAAGTTTTCATAGTTCATTGATCCTCTGGTGAAAAATCTGTACCATTGCTGTCCTCACTCCGCTCTTGTGTTGTTTAGCTGTTTCTTCCCGCACAGGCCATGTTTTGCAAGTCTGTGTCTGGATTAATTTTTCTTTGCATAATCCGAGAAATTGTAAATCATGCCCAAGCCAGTTGTCTTGCGGCCACCACAAAATGGGTTCTGAATCAAGCTTCTGTCTTAGGTGTGACTGCCTTCCCAGGGTGAAGGACATCAATGACCGTGACCATTTGTTTCTGCTGAAGTAGTCAGTTGGTCATGAACTTCCTGATCCCAATAGTTACCCTGTCGTTCACAATGGAGGTTGATCCTCAGGAAGCCAGGGAGGAAAAGAGTGCAGTGATATTTCTAACCCTGAGAAACTCCGGAAATCCAAGAAACTAAAGCGGGGCTATGGATTTTCACGTGCGTGCTCTCTCTCATGCACCAGACTGCTCATGCCAGCAGGACAATTGAGGCCATCACCACCAATCAGGTCTCTCCTCCCTGAACACCTGCTCTCTAGAGGAAGGGGCAGCCCCTCCTCTCCTGTTCTTCCCATGCCCTCTGCCCCTACCTCCTTGCTTCCTTCCCACCTACCAGGGGCCAGGCCAGAGCCCAGTGCTTACAACAACCCTGCGAAGTTAAGGGACAATGTCCCCATTTCATAGGTGAGGCCCAGATAAGCCAAGGGACTTGCCTCAAATCACATGGCAGAGCTGGGAGCTAAAGCCAGGTCCATGTGTAGCCAAGTCCAGTGTGCCTTCCATTCTAGCCTAGATGTCACACTCTCCCCAGAAGGGGGCCTCGGGCGCGGGTAAAGTTTGACTAGAGCTGACAATACCTGCAGTTTCCCAGGTGACCACCAGATGGCTGTGAACACTCACTTCCAGGTGAGCCATCTTGCCTTACCTCCTCTCTTCCTGGGTCTGGGAATCTCTTGGGCCTAAATTCTTAGAGGAGGAGTGTGTGTGTGAGAGAGACACAGATATCGCCACACATGAGCCCCTTGTCCAAGAGTAAGGGGTCAGGCATTGCGTTCTTAGCATAGACCCATTCATCTAGCCAACATTCACTGAGGGTTCCTCTGGGCTTGGGTTTCTGTGGGCGCTAGGGTCACAGAGATGATCTGGCCACATTCCTGCATTTTCAACATTCAGTAAATATTTACTGAGCATCTACTATTTTCCAGGCACGGAGGATATGGAAATGAACAAAAATCCCTGCCTTCTTTAGGGAGCTTCCATTTTAATAGGGAGAGATATGCAATCTACAAATAGATACTTACTGTGGTATCAAGTAGGGAGCACTTGAGCATCTCACAGACAAACATGTACACAAATAGTTGCAACATAGTGCAATCTGGTTCCTGCCTGCATGGAACTTACAGCCTAGGAAACGAATGAGTAATCAATTATACATTCGATACAGGCGCTGAAGGAAAGAGCAGGTGCAGCTGTTGTGATGTAGAATAACCAGGAGGCCTCTTTTAGGTAGGGAGGCCATGGAGCAGGTTACTTGAAGAGAGAATGAAAGAGTGTCAAGGGGAGGGAAGGTGTTGATGTGCTCGAGGACTAGAGAGGAGGCTAGTGTGTCTGGTGCCACATCAGCAAAGGGGAAAGAGAGGGGTTGAGCTCAGCGAGGTGGGCAGGGGCAAGAGCAAGTGGTCGCAGAAAGCAGTGAGGCAGAAGCTACTGGTGGGTTTAAGGAGGGGAGTGATACGGTCTGACATGTTTTCGAAGGATTGCTCTGCTGAGTGGAGAACAGACTGGAGCAGGAGGCCACTGCAGGCATTCAGGCAGGAGAAGGTGAGGGCTCCGGTTTGGAAAAGCGGATGGATCAGATCTACCAGCTGGGACAAGTGCTATAGCAGCTCAGCCTGGTTCTGAGACAGTCACAGAGAGCTTCCTGCAGGAGGTGGCCTTTTAGTGGTGTCTTGAAGGGTTAGTTAGTTGGAGTCAGGGTGGACGAGGACCCTCTAGGAGACAGAGCAGCTAGGATAAAGGCAAGGAGGCATGAAGGGGGAGGGGGAGGTGCTGTTCTGTCTTCTTGGAGTGTGGGGAGGTGTTGGGGAGAGCCCAAGACAGGCTGGAGAGACTTCTAGAGCCAGGAATCAAAGGGCTGTGGAGGCCACGGCATTGTTGAAAAGTGAACTGGAAGAGACATGGTCAAATCCACGGTTTCAGGCGAGCCCTGCACTGTGAGTGCCAGTGTGGGGAGACGTCGGAAGGCTGAGAGGCCCCAGAAGGAGGGCGAGAGGGCAGAGAGGAGTGAAGATGAGACTTGGTTCCCAACCAAGCAGATGGGGGAAGGAAGACGGAGAAGAGGGGGAGGAGGTGCTCCCTAAGGAGCCTGAGAAGTGGCTGTGGAGAGAGGGGACAACCGAAAGAAGCTGCTGCCAGAGCAAGAGAGGTGGCCGTGGGGGAGGCTGCAGAAAGGCCCAGCTGACCTAGGAATGGCGTGACCCATGAGTGGGCCAGAGGGTGTGGCGGGTTGAGGCAGACACAGGGGGGCTGAAGGGCACAGGGAGGAGGGTGCAAGGGCTGAAGCGAGGTGGAGAGGGGACACCAAAGCTGGGCCTGGGCAGCCAGAGGCGACGGGTCAACTGAAGCCCGTCCGGCGGACATGGGGCCTGGTTGGAGGGTGCACCCGGCAAGGCCTGGCCTGTGCTGAGCCCTGAAGGAAGGAAAGTGACCTCACTTCAAATCCAGATTTTGCCACTAACTCTGTGAACTCGGACTAGTCACTCACCTTTTCTGAGCCTCAGTTTTCTCACTTGTGAAGCAGGGGAAAAAACAGTCGCTTCTTAACAAAGTTTACACGAAGCGGCCCTTGGGGGTACCCAGTAACCACGTTTGCAGCTAGTCATGGACCCCGCCCCCTTTGTCCAAGCCCCGCCCAGACTGTTGGACCCAGCCCACCTAACCGCGCCCACCAGCCACGCCCCTATCTGGCCCCGCCTTTCCCTGGCTCAGTCCCGGACCAGCGAGCCCAGTCCCACCGGGCCGCTCCCCCACTGGCCACGCCCCCACCTGGCCACGCCCCGGTCGTCCAGGTCTCGTTCCCCACAAGCTCAGCAGAGCCCCATCCAGAAGAGACACGCCACGCCAGCTGTCCGCCGACCCCCAGCCCCCGCCCCCGCGACCATGGCCGCGCCGGGACCCCGCGCCTTGTGGGCTGCGCTCTGTGGCGGCTGCTGCTGCCTCCTCCTGTGTGCCCAGTTTGCTGTGGCTGGTAACGCGTGCAGAGTCTGGTCAGGGGCCCAGACAGGGGCAGGTGGAGCATGGCCCTCACCCAGCGGCCATCCCAGGAGCAGTCTGGACTGGGGAGTGGGGAACTTTCCAGACGTGTGCAGAGCTCCGGGGGTGGGAGAACGGGGCTCTAGCTGTGTGTGGGGCCCTGTGTGATATACAGGCTCCAGATGTGGGGGATTAGGGACCTTTCAGGTGTGTCTGGGGGTGGTGGCTGCAAATATATCTGGGAAGCTAAGGTGTGTGCAAAGGGAGGGCCTCTGGGTGAATGAATGTGGGGGAGGTTCTAGGTGAGGGTAACCATGCTCTTGTGGAAGCTCCAGGTGTGTGCAGGGAGTGTGAGCCCCAGTCGCCGCAGGGTGGAGGTGGGCGGGCGATGCTGCTTGGCTTTGAGGAGCTGCTCCCTTCCCACCCCCATTGCACTCCCAGGTAAAGGAGCTCGAGGCTTTGGGCGGGGAGCCCTGATCCGCCTGAACATCTGGCCAGCTGTTCAAGGAGGCTGCAAACAACTGGAGTTCTGTGAGCGTTGTGTGGAGGGAGACAGAGCACACAACCTCTCAGGCTGCGTGTGGGAGCAGTGTCAGCCAGAGGAGCCAGGTAGGCAGTTGGGACCGTCCCAAATTGAGTGCCTCCAGCTCTGAACCCCAGGGCCTTGGCCCCTCTCCCCAAAACCTCTCCCCTGCACCTTCTCCCACCAGGACACTGTGTGGCTCCAGCTGAGGTGGCCAAGGAAGGTTGCTCTGTCTACAACCGTTCAGAGTCGTGTCCAGGTAAGGCAGCTCCCACTGGCCAAAGCCAAGTGGGAGGGAGGGGGCTGAAGTCTCCCCAGCCATGGCCTGCCCACCAGGAGGAACCAGCCTCTCTCGGGGAGGGGACTACACCCACCAATACTTGGGTCCAGTTTCAATTGTCTTTAGCGCACTAAGCCCCTTTCCCCCTCTGGCCTGTTTCCTCATCTGAAAATTGGTGCAGGTGTATAGAAGGGACGGGGCATTAGCTCTTCTAATTTAAGGCCTGGTAAGGGCTTGGGACATTCAGAAGGCTATGGAGGGGGCTTCCTGGAGGAAGTGACATCAGTGATGAGCCCTGAAGGTAGAGCTGGAGAGAGGGCACATCTGTCAGAGGGAGGGAACTGTGTGACTAAAGCTTGCACGTACGTATGTCAGGTGTCTGGAGCAGGGACAGGGGCTTGATCTGAATCGGAAGTCCAGCTGTGGGTGGGACTGGGGTTTGCGGGAGTGGGGGTGGGCAGGCTGTTTGGTCATGCATTCCCCTTCTCCCCAGCTGCCCACCACCACCCCACCGATGAACCGAAGACGATCACAACAGGTAGGCACTACCAGGGGGTGGGGCAGCGGGAGGATCACAGGTTCAGGGAAAGATCTGGGCTCAGGCACTGACTTGCCCTGTGACCTCAGCCTGTGACTTCTCCCTCTGAACCGGTTTCCACATCTGTGAAATGGGCTGGATTATACCTACCTCGTGTCATTGCTGTGTGGATTTTATGAGAGGTGGCATAGTGCCACCTGGGTATCTGACTCACTGAAAGCGAAGAGATGACAGCACCCATCCCTCCCCCTGTCACCAGTTCTGGGAACTCAGGGTGACCCCTGAAGACTTGTCCTTGGAGCTGAGGGTGTGTGGCTCAGCTTGCTGATAAGATGTCCTCTGTGACTACTGCAACCTCCAGGCCCAGAGAGGGTCACAAAGCAGGTTCCTGGCAGAACAGAGGCAAGAACCCTGCCCCACTAGGTTCCCACCGCCCCTCGGAGCCTGGAGGTCACCAGACTTGGCAGGCATGGCTGGAGAGGCTCTTGGTTAATTAAAGCCGGAAACCGATCTCAGCAGCTGCATTATTGATGGCTCGGCTCCCTCAGTGCGAGCCCCAGATCGGCCTCGTGCGGCTCATTTCTCCCCTCTCTGCTCCTCTTCCTCCCCGCTGTTGCCTCTGGGGCTTCCTGAGCGGCAGCTGGGACAAGCCTTTGCCCTTCTTATTCTCAGACCCCCTTACACCACCTACAGCCTCCGGGAGGTGGACCCAGCTCATGGCTAGGCCCCTGCCTGCTGTCCCAGAACAATCTTCCACCCACCAGCCTGCCCTGTCCTGGGCACCTGGCCCAGGACCTGAAATCGAATCTCTGGTAGAAGTTGATGGGTAACATGGCACAGTCAGGAGCCACCCAGGCATAGCCTGGCAACCATGGCCCTAAGGCTCTGGCCTCTAAGGGGCAGAGGAAAGGGTCAGGGGACCCTGTGAGTATGGCTCTAAGTGTGAGGTGACTGGCCAAGCCTGGCCCTCAGCTGGGCCCCTCCCTCTGACATGCACTCAGCAGGGTGCCGGCTCTGGGCCTCCACTTCCTCCTCTGCCCCTTTCCTCTCTAAGTAAGGGCTCTGACATTGGGTGACGCTGGGGTCCCACGCTTAGGAGTCCTGAGAAAGGACCACATCATATGTACGTGGGCTCTGAACCCTGAAACCCAAGGTTGAAAGGGACTCTGGGATGGGGGGTCTGGATGCCCAAGTTCTGGATCTATCCTCACCCTGACGGGCTAGCGAGGGACAGGGAGGCTGGAGGGGAGCTCAGCCACCATCTGGTCCATGTGAATAGGAGACCCAGAGAGGGTGTGCGTGGGGTAAAGCCACAGAGCAAAGCCACAGAGCAACTTGGGCAGGGCCAGGGCTGAAAAAGCCCCCACCTGCCCCCCGCTCCGCCCCAGCCTCTGTCCCTCCTACCAGGCAGTTCCCAACTGTCTGCAGGATCTGGGGGGAACTTCGGAGCCCAGTGTTCAAGGACCACGTAGTGGCGACTGGGGCCTCAAGGTGCACGAGTTATGGGGATCGAGCTATGACTTCTACCCTGCCTCACCCCTGCAGGGAGCCCCTCAGTCCCTGAGGCCCACAGCCCTGGCTTTGATGGGGCCAGCTTTATCGGGGGCGTTGTGCTAGTGCTGAGCCTGCAGGCAGTGGCCTTCTTCGTGCTGCGCTTCCTCAAAGCCAAGGACAGCACCTACCAGACACTGTGAGTACCTGGCCAGCGCAGAGTCCCAGCTTACTTCCCCCTCCTGCCCTGCAGTTCCCCTTCAGTGTCTTCATGGGGCAGCCCTAAGGACAATGACTCCCTCCCAACGTCCCCCATGTGAGCCTCACCCCTTTCCTCTCCTTCATTTGGGGGGCTTTCTCTGCCAGATGTTGGCTGGGACCAGGACTCAGCCTGGGCCAGGTGTCTGGGAGCCCAGCTGAGACCAGCTGTGTCTTTGTCCCCTCATGCTGCCAGCAGGGAGGAGAACCAGTAGGTGACAGCCCAGGCGAGTCCGTGGCCTGCAGTTCTGTGGCCGTGGGCAGGAGCTGGGGCCGTGTGTCTAGTTCGGTTTTCCTCTGAGAAGGGGAGCTGTGCCTGGGCCCCCGTGTGCCGTGTGTGCAGTGGGACAGGTCGCTGCAGCCTGCATTGAAGTGTTTGCTCTTCCAGCCGCTGCTTGCTCTCTGGGGGTGGGGTCCTCAGCCAGCTGAGTCAGGGTCACCTCCCTGAGTGTCCTCTCTAGCCTCTGCAGAATCTGACCCCCTTGTGCCTGGACTCCACACTGAGAGGAAGAGGGACGCACAGGCTGCCCTCTTGATCCCTGTGGCACTGTGGGTGGGAAAAATTTTAGCCACCAATTTTTGGCCCCTGTGGGCACGGAACAGGCCCAGAACCCGATGCCTCATGTGCCTTCCTGTTTCGGGCCTGGTACCTGCAGCTGAGAGTCTCCTTCAACCACCTCGTGTCTCGTCCATCGCCCCTGCTGGGCCCTCCAGCCTGTCACCTGAGTTTTGTGCCTGCCTCTTCCCACCAACCTGGCCTAGGCGCTGTCCCCAAATAAAGGAACTCCTTCCAGTACTGTGCTTCATGTCCTGTGTCTTGGGCTCTGTGTGGGTTGGATGGGGTGAGGGAATGGCCACTGTTCTCTTGTTTTTTTTTTTTTTTTAAATGGAATCTTGCCCTGTCACCTGGGCTAGAGTGCCATGGCATCAGCCTAGCTCACATCAGCCTCAAACTCCTGGGCTCAAGTGATCCTCCTGCCTCAGCCTCCTGAATAGCTGGGACTATAGGCACGAGCCACAATGACTGGCTAATTTTTCTATTTTTAGTAGAGATGGGGCAGGGGGGAGGGGGTCTCACTCTTGCTCAGGCTGGTCTCGAACCCCTGAGCTCAAGTGATCCTCTCACCTCAGCCCACTGTTCTCTGCTTAATGGGCATTCTGCCTAGGATTGTTGCTATCACCTTTTAAAATATTTTCACCTTTGACACCTGCCTAACCCTCTCTGCCTGCTCTTGTAGTACAGGTGAGGGTTCAAAGACTCAGAAAGGTAAATGCACCTGCCTGGGATCACATGACTGGATGGGGCAGGGCTGGGCTCTCAGTCCAGGCTTTTCTGACCCCAGAGTGAGCAGAACTTCATCCCCGAGGCACCTCCAGGGTCTCTCAGCCCCCTAAAGGTAGGTCTTTGCCCCAGTGCCAAGGTGAAGCACCCCAGGGCTCCTAGGCAGCTGTGTCTGGCGTTCCTCACTCAGGCTCTCCTGGAAAGCGCTGGCCCCCGTGCCCCATCCCTGGGCACAGAAGTGCCCCAACTAATACCATCTCCCACTGATCGCGCACTTTCTGGGACCAGGCTAGCTACGAGTTTGGCATCCTCATCTCATTTAACCCCACAACTGCGCTGGGAAGTTGAGAGGAACAGGGTGAGGGTTGAGAGCTCAGCCCATGGAACCCGATTGCTCTGTGTGAACCCAAGCAAGTTGTGTAACAGCTCTGGGCCTCAGTTTCCCCATCTGTAAAGTGGGGGTAGCACATTCCAGTGGGATGTGGAGAAGGTTCAGAGCAAGCGTGTGTGCTGTTTGCTTCATTCCGGGGCTCCCTGTTGGCCCTTCCAGCTGTACAGCCCGTGGTTGGGCCCTCTCACCTCTTCCTCCTGCAGGGCAGCCACCCTCTGGGGGCTTCGGCTGCAGAAGGAGTGGCTCTGCAGGTACTTCCGCCTCCTCGGCTCACAGAGGGCTCACCTGCCCACACGCCGCACCACCCACAATGCCAACCACGGTCCGCCCTTGCTCACTTGTGCTGAATCTCCAGCCTCTCGGGCATCAGCCCCGCTTTGAGCTCCCCTCCAGCCTCTTGGTCCCCATCCTGTTCCCAGCCCGCCTTGCCTCCTCTACCCTCCCAGCCTTTGCACGTGCCTGTTTCTCCTGCCCGGATCACTCTTCCCTGGCTTCTCCCTCAGCACAATTTCTCTTTGTCACCTTGTTTTATTTATTTATTTATTTTTAGAGACAAGGTCTCACTCTGTTGCCTAGGCTGGAGCACCGTGGTGCAGTCAGAGCTCACTGCAGCCTCGAACTCCTGGGCTCAAGAGATCCTGCAGCCTCTCGAGTAGCTGGCACTGCAGGCGTGTGCCACCACACCTGGTTAATTTGGGTTTTTTTTTCTTTTTTTTTTTTTTAGAGATGGGGTCTCTCTATGTTGCCCAGTCTGGTCCAAAACTCCTGGGCTGAAGCAATCCTCCTGCCTCAGGCTCCTGAGTGTGTTTCAGACCTTTTTCTGGGAATTTACAACATATATACACCCATGTAATGTTTTTAAAATACAAAGCAGGCTCATGCCGTACATATCGTTCTGTGCTTTAGCCCCTCTCGGCACAGATCAGATTCACCCTGATTTGTCCAGATGGTCACAGTTTATTTGCCTGAGTCCTATCAATGGCTGGCTGGGTCATTTCCACGTTGACTCTTGCAAGCAACACTGTGATGAACAGGCGTGTTCGGAGATCTTGGCACACCCATGGGAGAGTTTGGGGAGGACAGATTCCTAGAACTGAAATTGCAGTTTCAGGGCATCCCTCTCACGGACGCATCCTGCCAGGCAAAGTCAGCCTGCACTTCCCCGATACTACCCGTGCCTCAGCCCGCTGGCACTGGGCCCAGCACAGAGGAGGCCCTCAGGGAGGGCTGATGAATGAGTGAATGAATGAGGCCTCCCTCTCCTCCCCTACCACCTGAGGTCCCTCTCTGACTCAGGCCTCATCCTTCACATCTGGACCACGGCTGCTGGGTCCTCACTGGCCTCAGTCCCCAGGTACCCCCTGCACAGTCTGCCCTTTCAATTGGCCTCTATTAGCAGCTGTCTCCCAGGCCTCAAGGGACTCGAGGTTGGGCATGAAGTCATTTCCCTTAGGGGGCTTCTGCCTGGTGGGGGCATGGGACTTTGGCAAAAGCTCTGTAGCTCTGGGCAGATAAGTGCCAGAAAGAGCAGAACCGCGTCCCATCTCTGGGCCTCAGTTTCTCCCTCTTTCTTCATTCAACAAGCGTTTATTGAGCACCTGCCTCGTAGCAGGCCTGTAACCCAGGGCCGATGATAAGGGCTGAGAACGAGGCTGGGAGGGTGGGAGGTGATGTGCAAACCGCACTTAGCGTGACACTGGAGTGTAGAAGGTGCCTAGTAAATAGTAGCAGTGGTCACTGTTAATAGTGGGGACGAGGATCAGGAGAGGATTCCTAGTGGAGATGGCCTTCGAGCTGGGCCTTCCTGGACAGGTGGAGCTTCACAGGTAGAGATGAACGTGAGTGTAGAGGGCTGGAGAGGAGGCTGAGGGGCCTCGGCAGCCAGGGTCAGAAGTTGGACTCCATCCTGGTTGGACAGGGCAGAGGGAGGAAACGCCGCCACCCCCTGCTGGCTCCAGCCTAGGCGGGGTGTCCCTGGGGGACAATGAGAGGAAGTCTTCTTCCTTCACATCCTTCCACCAGCCTGGCCTCTTATAAGCTGGCATCCTCCCTCTGGCAACCCCAGAAAGATGAGCCTCCTGTGGACCCCTCTGTCCCTGCTGCTGCTCCTAACTGGGGGGCCTGCGTGCCTGAGGGCCAAGGACCACCCCAGCTGCCCAGGTAGGGGCCTAGGGTGCCCTCCCCACCAACCCACCTCTCATTCCCTCCCTGGGTATCCCCCTACTCAGGCTCACCAGTCCCAAGGAGCAGGGTGGGAGCTAGATCATCTGGGCTCTACATGTAAATACATGCAAATAGGATGCAAATCACACAAACCCTTGCCAGCTCAGGAGACGAGAATCCTGACAGCTAGAATCTGGGAGAGGGAAAGAGAACTGCAGAGGGGTCTGGGAGAGACAGGCCCACCCTGTGCCCATCCGCCTGTGTCTCGCTGCAGGACCCACAGAACTGGAAGCCAGCAAAGTTGTCCTCCTGCCCAGTTGTCCTGGAGCCCCAGGAAGTCCTGGGGAGAAGGGGGCTCCAGGTCCTCAAGGTGAGAGAGGTGGCAGATGCTGGGGAGCCGGCAGAGCCCTTGGGGGAAACCAGGGCGCTGGGGAGGCAGCAGTCACTCTATGCCTAGGGGCCGCGGCAAAGGGCGAGGAGCCTGCTCTGTGCCAGGCTCCAGGCTGGGTGCCCAGCATCCAACAATCCACTGTGCCAGGTGGGCAGTATCAGCTCCGCCTCCCGAGGAGGAAAGTGAGGCCAGGAGGGGGTGAGTTTTTGCCCACAGTCACAGAGCTAACGAAGGATGAAACTGGGATTTGAACCTTCTTGCTCCAAATCCCTTGGGGTTTTTTGTTTGCTTGTTTGTTTTGTCATGGGTATGGGGCAGGACTCAGGGCATCTCTGCCTCTGGGATTTCAGGGCCACCTGGACCACCAGGCAAGATGGGCCCCAAGGGCGAGCCAGGTGAGTGTGTGGGCTGGTGGCCTCCCCTCCTTTCTCTGCTTGTGTCCCTGAAATGGGTGGGGGGAGGGCGCTGCTCAGCGATGGGCTAGACTGCCCCCCACAGGGGGGACGGGAGGCTGGGAGGAGTTGGGGGGATTAGAAGGGCCTGAGCACCTGCTCCACGTTGGTTCATGGGCCTTCCCCTGGGGGTGCCCAGACCTCAAGCCAACACTCAGTCTTCTCCGGGCAGGAGATCCAGCCAACCCGCTCCGGTGCCGGGAGGGTGAGCAGCCTTCGCAGGTGCCAGGCGCCAGGCGCCAGGAACTCGGAATCAGGCGATACCGGGGTGTTGGGGGACCTCCAGGCGCGGCCAAGCCCCTCCCCTCAGCCCTCCTTAGGACTCTTCCTCAGGGGCCTAAATGAGCCAAGAGGGCTCCTGGGCTCCCACACTTGATCCAGTGCCCGGGTGTGGGGTTGGGGAGTAACTTGGGGCCCCCTCTCAGTTTCTCTCCCCTTTCCAGGCCCCAGGAGCTGCCGGGAACTGCTAAGCCAGGGCGCCACCTTGAGCGGCTGGTACCATCTGTGCCTACCTGAGGGCAGGGCCCTCCCGGTCTTTTGTGACATGGACGCCGCAGGGGGTGGCTGGCTGGTGCGTGTCTGAGAAACCGACTGGTAGGCCAGGCCCAGTGGTCACTTCTGCCCCTGGCCCCTAGGGGGAGCCAGAGCCCACCGGAGCAAGGCATTCCTTAGCGATTCACTATCGTGTCTACTGAGCTCCCAACCCGGCCTGAAGAACTATGAGAAGGCTTCACAGAGGAGGTGTCATTTGAAAGAAATATGAAGGCTCCGTAGAAGTTCTCTAGACAGATGTGGCGTGGGGGGCGTTCCAGGTAGAGGTAAGACAAACTCAGGGAGGCAGAGAGTCCAAGAGAGTTTTTGGGGACCATGTGGGTAGGCTGAGATCTGCTGAGGTGGGCCAGGCATGGACTCAGGACCTCTGCAGAGGCCAGGTCACGGAGGGCGCCAAATGACCGGCTGAGGAGTGTGCAGGGGACTGGGGAGCCACGGGAGAGTGTTAGCAGGGGAGGGACAAGGTCAGATTCTGTTATAGAAAGATGGCTCAGGCCACACGGTACACGATGCACTGCAGTGGGGGACAAGCAGGGAGACAGGGACACAGCTTAGGACGACTGCAGGGGGCTGGGCAGGAGAAGACAGTGGACAGTGGAGCAATGGAAATCAAGGCGCTTAGGTCGAAAGACATTTAGGAGGGAACTTCACAGGGCCTGGGCGCTGCTTGGCTTGGCTTGGAGGGACATCTGGGTAAGGCCAGGGTCCAGCTTGGGCCTGTGGGGGTAAACTCTCTCCTTTCAATATCCTGGTTAAATTAAAGCAGGTTATTTTGAGTCTGACTCCCAGCAGGACTGACCATCCCCTGAGGGCAGAGACACTGTTTCTGTCATTTCAGTCCTCCCCAGGGCTTGCAAGGCTGAGGTGTGAAGTTGAAGTGTCAGTGTCAGTAAAAGTTAATAAGGGAATGTGGGGTTCATCAATATATCAATATATTCACAGGCAAAGCTCACTTGAAGGAATCACTTTATTTTTTTTTAGAGACAGGGTCTCATTCTATCTCTTGGAGTGCAGTGGTGCAATCATAGCTCACTGCAGCTTTGAACTCCTGGGCTCAAGCGATCCTCCTGCCTCAGCTTCCCAAAGTGCTGGGATGACAGGAGCGAGCCACTGCACCCGGTCAGAAATTGCATTCTATCAACAATCCAAAGAGAGAGGAAGTGTCTACCCACCTCTAAGAGTTCGTGAATGCTCAGATGCCATTTCCCCGTGCTTCCCCGCAGCCTATGCCCAGCCGTGAGTAATAGCTGGTGTGCCACCCTCTCCTCCCTAGGTGTTCCAGAGGCGCCAGGATGGCTCTGTGGACTTCTTTCGCCCTTGGTCCTCCTACAAAGCAGGTTTTGGGAGCCAGGAGTCTGAATTCTGGCTGGGGAATGAGAATTTGCACCAGCTTACTCTCCAGGGTGAGTTCCCTGCAGGGTCCAGGGGCCCTGAGGGGTACTGTCTGCTGTCCTGAATGCCCCCCACCCTGGGATCTGAGGGTTCCTCCGTACCTGCCTCCCCTTCCTTCCAGGTACCTGGGAGCTGCGGGTAGAGCTGGAAGACTTTAAGGGCAACCTTACCTTTGCCCACTATGCGACCTTCCGCCTCCTGGGGGAGGCTGAGCACTACCAGCTGGTGCTGGGCAAGTTCTCAGAGGGCACTGCAGGTGGGTGACCTCAGGTGGGGCCCTGGGGAGGGAGGCTGGATCCTTTCCCAGCACTGGCACTGCCTCTGTGAATGACCAAGGGCAATTCTTTCCCCTGTGGGCCTCGGTTTCCTCATCTGAGAAAGGGCATTTGTGAGACACGATGGTGCAAGAGTGAAGAATTTGGGCTCTGGAGGCAAACAGACCTGAGTCTGAGTCCAGCTCTTCCACTTACTAACTAGGTGACCCTGGGCAAGTCCCTTCCTGGTCAGAGCCTGATTCTGTCTCTATAAACTGGGTGGCAGAGGGAGGGGTTGTGGGTGCCATGTGAGGCTGTGTCGAGTGTTAGCCTTCTCTGCTTCGGAAGGGGAACCAGGGAAGACTTCTTTCAGAGCAGCAGTGACTGTTGGGGAGAGATTTGAAAGACGGAAGTGGTTATGGGGAGGTGCCATGGGGGAAGCCCCTTTCCTGCGCAGGTGTCCCTGGCAGAGTTGCTCAGGCTGCTGCTGGGAGCCCAGAGGGGACAAGAGGAGACAAGGAGCTAGAGGAAGGGTGGAGATGGGGGCGGGGGGATGAGGCAAGGCAAGGAGAAGAGCTGTTGGCTTTGGAGCCAGAGAGTCCTGAGTTCAAGCCCCACTGCTGCTGTGATTAGCTGAGTGACACTGGGCAAACAACCTGGCCCCTTGGTGCTGCTGTTTTCTCACAGAGCCTGATAAAATTCACTGCCATGTTGCTTTGAGGTTCCTATGACATAATATCTCCAAAGGTGCCAGACATGGTGCTGGGAACCAAGGTGCCCCCCATCCCCTCCCTGCCAGGGGACTCTCTGAGCTTCCACAGCAAGAAGCCCTTTACCACCTATGACGCGGACCACGACTCGAGTGGGAGCAACTGCGCGGTGGTTGTCCACGGTGCCTGGTGGTACGGATCCTGCTATCAATCCAATCTCAACGGGCGCTACGCAATGTCCGAGGCCACCGCCCACAAGTACGGCATTGACTGGGCCTCAGGCCGCGGTGTGGGCCACCCCTACCGCAGGGTTCGGATGATGCTTCGCTAGGGCACCCTGGCAGCCAGCACCCTTATCTCTCCCATACAGCTTCCTACCAGGCCAACCGCCTCTGCTTCCCTGTCCGTATTTAAAAATAAAATCATTTTAACCCTTTCTTGGATTTCAGGACTCTTCCAGTCACTGGGAAAAACCCTAGAGGGCAGAGCAGGGACACAAGTTTCAGCTCCACTCAGGGAAGAACTTCCTTCCAGTCAGGAGGATGGAAGGGAAAGCCTCATAAGGTAGTGAGGCTTCTGTCTCTGGAAGCATGCAAGACAAGGCCAGAGGAGCATATAGTGGAAGGATTGGAGGGGATTCAGGCATCCACGGACAATCTCCCTGGGCCCTTCAGGTCCTACAAGTGGTTGGTTTTGTGGTGGGAATTGTGCAGCTTTTCCCAGCATCCTCTGCGTTGCTCAGGCCTGCCCCTTGTAAGTTGTCTGTTTCCCACTGTGGCCTCTGTCGTAGGCCAAGTCCTCACCCTCTACTACGTCTCGCCTTGTTCCATTCGGGGCCGATTTGAATCCAGGGTCAAACTAAGGAGGGTACATTTTTCTTCCATGAGGCAACAGGGCAACGAAACGGCAGCCACTGGACTAGCATTTATTGGGCAGTTTATTTGTCCAATGTCGCATTCTAGTAAGTGACAGAAATAAATTGTTAGGAGTCTGACAGGTAGTCCTGGGGTTGCACTCTGCTCTATCATGTAGTGATCTTGGACAAGTTACTCAGCCTAAGTCCCCAGTTCCTGGTTTCTGGGTCCACTGAGGTTTACACCAGGTTGTTGCTTCAGCCACTAATTCACAAAATGAAGTTAGGGATCCTTGGGGATTTGAAGCTGGGAAGCTGTTGCAGCCCAAAAAGCTAGAGTTTGTAGGGTTCTCCTTCAAAGGGTGGCTAGAGAGATGTTTACAGCAGGAAGGGCTTCGTAGGTCCCGCGGTCATGTTCTGGGTAGAAGGCAGCAGGGCTCCACAGCAGGTTGGGTTCTGGGGAAAGCAGCCCTCCGGCAAGAGGGTAAAGGCTGTGGCTCAGATGCCCAGTCCCACTCTGGGGCTGAAGACTTCTGGGCAGGCTGGCTTTCCACATTCCGGTCCCTGCCTGTGTTCGCTGCACCCTGAAGAGCTGTTCTGCATTGTGTTCTGCACACCGTGATATCTCTGGAGAGCCCTTCATTCAACAGATCACGCCTCTTCCTTAGCCCTGGTCTGGGCATACATCTCATGATCCCAGTCCACAGTGGTTGGCATGCACAGAGGCATGGGCTGTTCTGGAAGCGGCCAGTCTCAGAGGTTCTGGCGGGAGAGTGTAACCAGCTCCATGAGCCCCTATGTTTTTTATAATCTTCTCCCTTAACTACTTGACCCTTTGAGTTGTTTCCCGAAAATGATGGACTCCTGGCCTCAAGTGATCCTCCAGCCTGGGCCTCCCGAAGTGCTGGTATTATAGGTCTGAGCCACCACACCGGCCTGAAATGATGGATTTTGTACAAGACAAAGGAGTTGAGATTCTGAAAGCCCCAGGGCAGACTTCCCGACGGCAAGATTCACTATTCCCGCCCCCACAACCTGCCTCATACAGGTAGCCCCTCGTGAGATACATCTCAACATGCCCCCAGCTACCGTGGCCCCTCCTTTAAATGTCCATGACATCCCTTAGTCAAGAGACGATGGATTTGAGACAGCTTCTCCCGTCCTCCTGGCAGGACGTGTGTCCTATTAAAAATTCCTTTCTTCCTTGGTCTCAATAATTGGATTTTTGTGCCACCAGCAATTGGACCTACACGGAAACCCCTTGCGGTTTCGACAAGAGGAGGTAGGGGAGAGGCCGAGTCCCAAGCTGCTAGGGAGTGGCGCTGCCCTAGGGCCGAGGGTGGAGCTTTCCTCGTCGACCGGGAATGGGCTGGGCCCAGCCTACATGTGAAGGCAGGACTGAGCGTGGGCGGGCGGTCCCTTGAGGAGTCCGGGAGGCAGACACCGCCGGACCGAATCCCGGGAGCCCCCACGTGACTCTGAGCCGCCGATCACCGGATGCCCCAGATTCCTGGGACCCAATCCCCGGTTTCAGATCCTCAGCAACTTGCAAGTCCGAGCTCGGATTTCTTCTTAAACTTGATTCCTGGAACGGGACGTCCGGCCGGATGCCGAATCCCCAGATCCCGTGGGAGACTGTCTGATCCCGACCGGATTCCCGAGCCCGAGATTCCTGGATCCGCCGGCCCAGGCTCCCGCCCCGCCGCGGGTTCCCAGCGCCCCGCGCCCAAGCGCCTCGCATGGCGGGGCCGTGCGCCCGGTCCGGCGCGCAGCGCGCCGGGAGCTGCTGGCAGGACCCGCTGGCCGAGGCGCTGAGCAGGGGTCGGCCGCTAGCTGGGTCCCCGGGCCGGGGCTGCGCGCGGAGCCGGCCGCTCAGCGTGGTCTACGTGCTGACCCGGGAGCCGCGGCCCGGGGTGGAGCCCGGGGAGGGAACCGAGACCGAGCCGCTGCCCCTGCGCTGCCTGCGCGAGGCTTGCGCGCAGCTCCCCGGGCCGCGGCTGCCGCCGCAGCTGCGCAGCCTGCCCTTTGGGACGCTGGCGCTGGGCGACACCGCGGCGCTGGACTCCTTCTACAACGCGGGTGAGCGCGCGCCGGGGGCGCGGCCACTCGGGGCGGGGCCGTGGTGGGTACCGGGTCTGGGGGCCTTAAGGTGAGGCAAAGCTGCAGGACTTGAGGCGGAGACCTGACAAAAGTGGAATTTAGGGGATCTGGAGCGCTGCCGGGCTCGGGATGGAACTTTGGGATCCAGGCCCGGTTTCGGGGTTCCCAGTTGGGGCTTAAACACCCTCCAGTCGCGGCTGTGCCCCGCGAGCGCGGCAAGGACCGGGCGGAGCTTAGGAGCCCTGGGCGGGGCTGTGGCGTCCCACGGCTGGGGTTGGAGAAGTCAGCTTGGGACGGTCTCGCGGGGCCCTCCTGAGGACAGATCCCGGGAGGGAAGCCTGGAGTGGGGAAAGGAGCTGCACCTGGGGGGCCGGGGTTCAGGGGTCCTAGCATACTACTTCCGAGGATCGGGCTAGAGAGGCAGAAAGGGAAGCGAAGGGACGCAGCGGGACCCGATTCTGGGAAAGGGAGTTTAGGTGAAGAGGCCCAGGCAGCCCAGAGGGAGTGGGCGGGGTAGGGGCGGAGCTGGAGGAGGGCCGCGGCCGACCGGGGGCGGGGCCAGGGGCGGCTGTTCCAGCGCGGGTCACCGCTCCCTCCCGCCAACCCTGGAGCCCCGCCCCCGGTACTTGTTCATCCTAGAGTCCGGGATCTGTGCTTCCTGGATGTCCGTGAAATCGCAACCTAAAAATGAAGGCTGACCCGACCTCGAGGACACAAAGACACACATAGTCATCCACAGACTCACAAATCGCATACATGTTGACTTACCCAGGCTCTTGCAGACCCTGTCACACACAGAGATACAGTGGGACACAGTAAGCTATACACACACGGACAGACACAGCGTTGTCTACACACATTGGTGGTGTCGGCCCCTTTAAAGGGACTGGGTTGGAGATCCAGGGGAGGGGACTTCTGTGTGTACACAGCTGCCTCCCAAATGGCCTGGAACAGGGTCTGAGCTGGGGCACAGCCTTCCCTCCCCGTGGCCCCGTGCTCACAGGATCTGAACAGTGGGACCAACGTCCCAGCCCAGTAAGCCCAACTCTGCTCCTGCAACACCACAGATAACAGTTCTGTGAAAGAGCCAGAGGGACCCTAAAAGGGGGAAACTGAAGTCCAGAGCAGAACCGGACCCTGCTGATGTCCCACAGCAATGCAGGCTGAGCCAGGATGGATCCCCAGCCTCCTTCCCTGTTGAGCTGGGCCTCGGGCTCAGCGCCTGCACCTCTGTGCCCGCAGATGTGGTGGTTCTGGAGGTGAGCAGCTCTCTGGCACAACCCTCCCTGTTCTACCACCTCGGTGTGCGTGAGAGCTTCAGCATGACCAACAACGTGCTCCTCTGCTCCCAGGCAGACCTCCCCGACCTGCAGGCCCTGCGGGTAGGTGGCCAGGGGGCTGGCGGAGGCAGGCGTGGGGTTGGGGTGGCATCTACCCAGAACACCAGTTTCTGACTGTCTGCCTCCTGCAGGAGGATGTTTTCCAGAGGAACTCGGTGAGCAGAATCCACCCCTCACTCCAAGTGTCCTTTGACCTCCACTGTGACTTCTGACCTCTACTAATCTTCCTGGCCTCTTCAGTTACCTCTGACCCCCTAATGCCCCCTGACATCCATATGACCCTCTGTTTGGTTTCCTATTGCCACCTTTCATGAAGTGTGCCCTTTCCTGCTGTCCCAGTCCCCACTGGTGCTGACCTCTGACCCCATCACTGCCCCTCTCTAGCCCTGTGCTGACCTCTGATCTCCACTGATTCCTGCCTCCTTCCCACCAGGATAGTGTTGGCAGCTACACACTGATCCCCTATGTGGTGACAGCCACTGGTCGGGTGCTGTGTGGTGACGTAGGCCTTCTCAGAGGCCTGGCTGATGGCCTCGTACAGGCTGGAGTGGGCACTGAGGCCCTGCTCACCCCTCTGGTGGGCCGGCTTGCCCGCCTGCTGGAGGCCACACCCACGGACTCTTGGTAATGGGGCCCCCAGGGAGAGCACGCCGGGAGGAGGCTGGTGAGGGTTCCGTGGGCCGGGGCTGGAACACAGGCCCCACCATCCTCTCTCCCTGCCTCCCCTGTCCTGGGCGTCAGTGGCTATTTCCGGGAGACCATTCGGCAGGATATCCGGCGGGCACGGGAGCGGTTCAGTGGGCAGCAGCTACGACAGGAGCTGGCCCGCCTGCAGCGGAGACTGGACAGCGTGGAGCTGCTGAGCCCCGACATCATCATGAACTTGCTGCTGTCCTACCGCGACGTTCAGGTGAGTGGTGTTCAGAGAGGCAGTTAGTTAGGCATTGTGCATTTGAGGTCAGAAAAATCCAAGTTCAGCTCTCAGCTGTGCCACTTGCTCACTGGTGGCTTTAAGCAAATTATCAAACCTCTCTGAGCCTCGGTTTCCTTATTTGTAATAGGGGGTGATCATGTCACTGACTCCCAGGGCAGTTGTAAGGTTGGGAACAGCCAGCATGGGGCACACAGTAGGTGCTCCCTGTAAGGTGTGGTGTTGCTGTACCTCTGGGTCTGAGGGAAGGTGGGATGTCAGGGGTGGGACAGGACACTGGCTCAAGGTATTCCTCAGGGTCTGGGGCCAATCGTGGCAGAGCTTGCTGTCCCTCATGCAGGACTACTCGGCCATGATCGAGCTGGTGGAGACGCTGCAGGCCTTGCCCACTTGTGATGTGGCCGAGCAGCACAATGTCTGCTTCCACTACACGTTCGCCCTCAACCGGTGAGTGGCAGAGCAAGGCTTGAGTCATAGCCACGTGGAGGTCTCTGTGGCCTGGGTCTCTGCCGTGCGAAGTCATTGCTGTCTGGGATCACTGCTGTTCAGGGCGGCTGTGGTCAATGTGTCCCTGTTGTTTTGGGTTACTGTTGCCTGGGTGGAGGTAGGGGAGGTGGTGCTGCCCTTAGTGTGGTCACAGCTGTCCAAGGTCACTGCGCCTTAGAGTCATTGCATCTAGGAATCACTTCCATCTGAGGTCACTACCCTAGAGAGGTCAGTGCTGGCCAGGGTCACTGTCATTTTGGGGTCATTATTGTCAGGCTCCTGGAAAGGTCCCTGATGTTTGGGGTCTAGCGGTCCCTGGACAGAGTGGGTTCAAGGCCACCAGACAGGTCCTGAGCCCTTCTTCCCCCTTACCTAGGAGGAACAGGCCTGGGGACCGGGAGAAGGCACTGGCTGTCCTGCTGCCACTGGTACAGTTTGAGGGCTCTGTGGCACCCGATCTATACTGCATGTGTGGCCGTGTGTACAAGGACATGTTCTTCAGCTCTGGCTTCCAGGACGCTAGACACCGGGAGCAGGCCTATCACTGGTAAGGAGCACAGTGAGTGGCGGCGGGCTGAGCCAGTGGTCTGAGAGGTGGTGTGGTGGCATCAGTCCGGCCCTGTGCCCCACCCCAGGTACCGCAAGGCTTTTGATGTGGAGCCCAGCCTCCACTCGGGCATCAACGCGGCTGTGCTCCTCCTTGCTGCTGGGCAGCATTTTGAGGACTCCGAGGAGCTCCGGCTAATAGGTTAGCCCAGATCCTGGCTCCCTGTCCCCTCCTGCACAGGGTCTTGGAAGAGGTAGGGAGAGAACATTGCGCAGAAGCTAAGACTGCGTTCGTCTGTTTTGGACTATTCTGCCTATACTCACACCTGGGTCCTCACACCTCTCCTGGGCCCTCAGGAGCCCTCGAGCCCACAACTGTCCCCAACCTCACACCTGTGTTCAGTGCACCCTGAGGTCCATGTATACTTGTGCCCAAACCCTCACCTGTGTCTGAGCTCCTACTGCCACCTGAGATCTTGCCACCCAACGTTTTAACCGTATCTATGTTCATGCCCGCCTGAATGGTAGGCCTTACCCACAGCTGTACCCACACTCACTGGAGCCCATGCCCATCTTCCCCAGGCATGAAGCTGGGCTGCCTGCTGGCCCGAAAAGGCTGTGTGGAGAAGATGCAGTATTACTGGGATGTAGGTTTCTACCTGGGAGCCCAGATCCTCGCCAATGACCCCATCCAGGTGGTGCTGGCTGCAGAGCAGCTGTACAAGCTCAATGCCCCCATATGGTAGGTGGCCCCCTTGCATTCTTGGCCTGGCCTGGGCTGCCAGCTCCTTCCTACACCCACGTCCATTGGCGCACTAGCCTGAACCCTGAGCCAATGACCTGGCCACTTTTAGACCAGTGCCCATAGCACCCAGTGCCCACGTTCTGGCTACATCCAAGCCAGTTTACTCTCCCTGGCAGTGCCGGCTGGTGCCTGGGCTGAGCTGAGGACAAGGCTGTGCCTGCAGGTACCTGGTGTCTGTGATGGAAACCTTCCTCCTCTACCGGCACTTCAGACCCATGCCAGAGCCGTCTGGAGGACCTCCACGCCGTGCCCACTTCTGGCTACACTTCTTGCTACAGTCCTGCCAGCCATTCAAGACAACCTCTCCCCAGGGGGACCAGTGCCTGGTGAGGCCGTAGGTGAGGAGGACCTGAGAAAGGAGTGAGTCCTTTCTGACCTACCCCTCTCCTCCACTGCCCGCAGGTGCTGGTCCTGGAGATGAACAAGGTGCTGCTGCCAGCCAGGGTCGAGGTTCGGGGTAGGGACCCGGTGAGCGCAGTGATCCTGAGCCTGCTGGATGGGGAGACCCAGGTGAAGTCACCTCTGAGTCCCCCCACTCACTCTAACTTGGAGACTTTCTCCCAAGTTAGGGGTCAGACCCCTCTCCTGTCCCCAGGACTCCCCATCAAACCCCATTTCTTCTCGCAGGACGTTCCCGCCAGCTGGACCTTCCCAGTGGCCTCCATCTGCGGAGTCAGGTGAGAGGCAGGTCTTGGGACAGACTCGGGCTGGAGGAGAGGGGCGGCCACTGCGGCGGCCAGCGACTCACCCGATTTTTCGTCCTTTCCCAGCGCCTCCAAGCGGGATGAGCGCTGCTGCTTCCTCTATGCACTGCCCCCGGCCCAGGACGTCCAGCTGTGCTTCCCCAGCATAGGGCACTGCCAGTGGTGCGCGCAGCCTCTGGTGATCGGGGTACTCAGAGGGCTGGGACGCCCAGGGGAGTAAGGGAAAGGAAGGGACGACGTCCCCCAGGTGCTCCCGGCTTCGGAGGGGAGCCTGTCCAAGATGCCCCCCTGCCATCCGTCTGACCTCCCCTGCCCTCAGGTTCTGCGGCCTTATCCAGGCCTTGGTGACAAATCCAGATTCCTCGGCGCCCACGGAAGCGGCAGAGGGCGTGGGGGAGGTGCTGGAGGTGAGGACGCGGGACCGGCACCTGGAGGAGGGCGACCGGCTGCGGGCCCAGCTGAACCCCCATCTCGCTCCGCGCCCCGCAGTTTGATTATGAGTACACGGAGACCGGCGAGCGGCTGGTGCTGGGCAAGGGCACGTACGGGGTGGTATACGCGGGCCGCGAGCGGCACACGAGGGTACGCATCGCCATCAAGGAGATCCCAGAGCGGGACAGCAGGTGCGGTGCTCCTAGCCGCGGGCGGGGCAGAGCGCTCGCGGGGCCCGAGTGGGCGTGGCTGTGGCGGGGCCAGTGGGCTGAACAGCCCGGGCAGTGCGGGCCGGGCTGAGGTCTGGAGGGTCGGGTGGGCGGGGCGGATCCCCGGGGCGTGGCCTGGCTGGTACCAGATAGGGTACTGGAAAGGCTTCTCTGCCCTGATGTGTCCCATTCCTTTCTCCCCTACCTCCCTCAGGTTCTCTCAGCCCCTGCATGAGGAGATCGCTCTTCACAAACGCCTGCGCCACAAGAACATTGTGCGCTATCTGGGCTCAGCTAGCCAGGGCGGCTACCTTAAGATCTTCATGGAGGAAGTGCCTGGAGGTACCTGCCCCTTGTGGGATGGGAATGAAACCCGAGGTGTGGGGCATGCGATGGGGGCAGGAAGGGGTGGAGAGCCCTGAGGGGAATAAACCCTGGCGTGTGTGGGTGGTGTAGTCCAGAATTAGCTGATTCAGTGGCATTGGGTGATGGAGTCTGGGCTATGGCATGGGTGTGTCTGGGCCTTGAGCAGAGAAATGTGGGCTGGAATAGTGGGTGCCAACGATGAATTTGGACTGTACCTGCCCAGGTAGCCTATCCTCCTTGCTGCGGTCAGTGTGGGGACCCCTGAAGGACAACGAGAGCACCATCAGTTTCTACACCCGACAGATCCTGCAGGGACTCAGCTACCTGCACGACAACCATATTGTGCACAGGGACATCAAGGTAAGCCCTGGGGCAGGCCCACCCTGGCCTGCTAGGGGTTGCAGGGAGGGGAGGAGACATGGTCTCAGAGGCTGGCGGTTTAGATTAAGTGGGCAGACCTGGTGCAAAGGGCAAGAAGGTTCCTTAGAGAAGAAGTTCAGCCCTGAAGCCAGACCAGATGCCAGCTCCCAGAGGGCCATGTAAGTGGGATGGCAGGGGGAAGGCAGTGATAGAGGTGGGGCCAGGCTGGGATCCCCAGGAGATGGGGTCCCAGGAAAAGTCCAGTTCTGCTCTCAGGGGCCCAGCTCAGTGTCTACTAATCACCGTCAATCAGGGGGACAATGTGCTGATCAATACCTTCAGTGGGCTGCTCAAGATTTCTGACTTTGGCACCTCCAAGCGGCTGGCGGGCATCACACCCTGCACTGAGACCTTCACAGGTAACAGGTGTGGGGCTGGGGTGTGGGGATGCTGACGTGGAGCAGAACTCCCAAAGCCTTCTAGGGAATAGGGTGTCTCCTGGGAATGGAGTTAGAGTCCTAATGGGGGATGAAACCCAGGCAGGTGATTCAGCCAGGGATGAGGGGATGGAATCTTGAACTGGAGCTTGGATAATTGATGAAATTGAGGTTAGCACCTGAAATGGATCCCAGGAGTTTTGATGCAGGCCAACGTGGGTGTTGGAGGACAAAGGAAGTAATAGAGTTCAAGGAGGATGACACAATCCAAGATATGTGATGGAACCCTATTGTGGGTGATAGAGTCCATGAATATGATGGAGCCTAGGATGAGTGCTTTTTTTGTTTTTTTTTTTTTTTTTGAGACAGAGTCTCACTCTGTTGCCTGGGCTAGAGTGCCATGGCATCAGTCTAGCTCACAGCAACCTCAAACTCCTGGGCTCAAGCAATCCTTCTGCCTCAGCCTCCCAAGTAGCTGGGACTACAGGCATGTGCCACCATGCCTGGCTAATTTTTTCTATATATATTTTTTTAGTTGTCCAGATCATTTCTTTCTATTTTTTAGTAGAGATGGGGTCTCACTCTTGCTCAGGCTGGTCTCAAACTCCTGACCTCAAATGATCCGCCCGCCTCGGCCTCCCAGAGTGCTAGGATTACAGGCGTGAGCCACCGCGCCTGGCCTAGGATGAGTGTTGGAAGCCTTGGCAGGTGATGGAGCCTAGAGTGGGTGATGAAACTCAGGAAAGATGTTTGATGGCCAGGGTAGGTGATGGAATCCATTTTGGATGATAGATTCAGCATGGGTACAGGTGGCCAGAGGATGCTGAAGTTCCTCTCCCCCACATAACTCCCACCCCATGAAAAAGCCTAGGCAGATATTGTTGCTCTTGCTCCTGTCCTAGGGACCTTGCAGTATATGGCTCCAGAAATCATTGACCAGGGCCCATGTGGGTATGGGAAGGCAGCTGACATCTGGTCACTGGGCTGCACTGTAATTGAGATGGCCACAGGTCGCCCACCCTTCCACGAGCTGGGGAGCCCACAGGCTGCCATGTTTCAGGTGAGATCCCACAGGGTCTGGCCCATGGAGGTGGGGTGGGGCCAGACTGGGCCTTCAACACCTCTAAACTTGACCTTTGTTTTCCCTCCCCCCTCAGGTGGGCATGTACAAGGTGCATCCACCAATGCCCAGTTCTCTGTCTGCTGAAGCCCAAGCCTTCCTCCTTCGAACATTTGAACCAGACCCCCGCCTCCGAGCCAGCGCCCAAGCGCTGCTGAAGGACCCCTTCCTACAGCCTGGGAAGAGGAGCCGCAGCCCTGGCTCCCCCCAACATGCTCCGCGGCCCTCAGGTCTTTGGGGGTGGGGGAAGGGAGCACACTGGAGGGCTGAGGAACCGTGAAGGTGACAGGGCTGGGGGGGCCCAGCTGACAGCCTTGTCCCTTCCTCAGATGCCCCTTCCACCAGTTCCACTCCTTCAGCTGACTCGACCACCCAGTCCCAGACTTTCCCACGCCCTCAGGCATCCTCTCAACACCCGCCCAGCCCACCAAAGCGCTGCCTCAGTTATGGGGACGCCAGCCAGCTCCGGTGAGAGCCTGGGGTCCTAGGTGTGGGTTTCCTTTGCTTAGTTTTGCCTTTGTACTCCTTCCGGAAAAAGCCCTTCTTGGGAGCCTGGGCAGCTTGCCACGTGCCAAGGATGGCATTCCATGCCTGCTGTGCCCTCTCCCAGAAACTCTAACTTGTACTTGTTGTGCCCCCTCAGTGCGCTGGGTTTCTTTCTTTTTATCCCTGTGAGGTAGGCATCAGAATAAGAAGCCCAAGATTCAAACTGTGCGGCAGAGGTGGCTGGACGGTGTTGCTGCCGGCCCTCCATCAGCCGCTGCCCATTGTATTGTGCCCAGCGTGCCCGAGGAGCCTGGGGCCGAGGAGCCTGTATCCCCGGAGGAGAGTTCGGGGCTGAGCCTGTTGCACCAGGAGAGCAAGCGCCGGGCCATGCTGGCCGCGGTGCTGGAGCAGGAGCTGGCCACGCTGGCGGAGAATCTGCTCCTGGAGCAGGAGCAGGAGCAGGTGGGCGGCCCACCCCAGGGCCCCCTGGTGGTCGAGTTTGAACAGGACTCCTGCAGATGACCTCCCCACACCCGCAGCATTTCTCTCGGCTAGGGTGGGGACATAGGGTGGGGACACCGGCTGACAACCCCTCTCTTCGTTCTCAGGGTTCCCTTCTGGGCAGGGATCATGTGGAACAGCTGCTGCGCTGCCTCGGGGCGCACATCCACACTCCCAACCGCCGGCAGCTGGTTCAGGAGCTGCGGGCGCTGCAAGGGCAGCTTCGAGCCAAGGGCCTTGGGCCTACACTTCTGCACGGACCGCTCTTTGCCTTCCCGGATGCGGTGAGGAGGCTTTCTCACAGTTAGGGCTACCCAGTAACAGACTGTGAGCTTCCTGTGCCTGGAAACGTGCAAGGACTTTATGTTCCAAGGTTCTGTGTCTCTTCCCTGAAGATAGGGCCATCAGGAAAGGGACGTCTGTCCAGTCCTAGCTTCCCAGCCCTTCCCTTCACCCCAAGCCCGCCCACCACACTCGCCTCCGCAGAAGACTTTCTGGCCTTTCCAGCTCAAGCCCCACCTCTAGTTGGGGCTCAGCAGGCTCAGCAGCGCTCTCCTCTCTGTCTAGGTGAAGCAGATCCTCCGGAGGCGCCAGATCCGCCCACACTGGATGTTCGTGTTGGACTCGCTGCTCAGCCGCGCGGTGCGGGCTGCCCTGGCTGTGCTGGGCCCGGGTAGGCGCGGGAGGGGGCCGGCCGGCCGGCGACTAGGGTGTGGCCCTCCGTGGGCGTGGCGAACGCCAAATGGGGTGGGCAGGGGGCGTGGCCTGCGGGGCCGGGATTCACAGGAATCCCCTGGCCGCAGCCGGTGGGGGCGTGGCTAAATGGACCGGACCCAGACTGGGCCCCGCAAAGAGCCGGGTATCCGAGCCTACACGCCCTCGCCGGTGTCTGGGGGTCCCAAACGGGCGTTCTTGCCCTGCCTGAGCTCACCCCACTCGGACTGGCAGAGGTGGAGAAGGAGGCAGTCCCATCGAGGTCAGAGTTGAGTAAAAAGGGGGAGTCCCAGCAGAAGCAGCAGGAAACCCAGGTCCAGCAGAGCCCACTTCCCGAGGAACCTGCGCAGGGCCCCCCGCCTCTTATGGTGCAGCTGAGCCTCCTGCGAGCAGAAACTGATAGGTAAATCTCCTCGAAATCGCCCATAGACTCCGCGCCAGCGTCAACCCACTCTCTAACCACTCCATTCTACTTTCTGCCCTCCGGCAGGCTTCGCCAAGTCCTGGCCGAGAAGGAACTGGAGTGCCAGGCCCTCGTGCAGCGAGCGCTGCAGCGGGTGAATGCGGAGGCCAGGACCAACGCCCTGGCCTCAGAGCCCCCAGGTGAGCGGCCTGGCTGGAGAACACTAGTGGGTGTGGGGCAACTTCTAGCAGGAGGCACACCGGGCTCATCACCTGACTTCTTGACAGCTGCTCTCCCAACGGACCAGGGCCTGGTGCAGTGGCTACAGGGACTGAGCGTGGATTCAGCCACCATCCAAACGGTGAGGGGGGCTGCTGGCCATCCCTAACCCCAGCAACCACAGACTCCATCTCTGTCTGTCAGCTCTTCTCACTGTTCCCTCTGATGGAGAGAATCTCAAAAATGGAAGAGCACGTAGTATATTCCTCCCATGGTACAGATGAGAAAACTGAGCCCCAGAAAAAGGAGGGGATCTGCCTCAGCATTTTCGCAGTAGAAAGGAGCTAGTACCTGGGTCTTTGGACACATCTTTCTGGAATTTTATCTGTCCCTGTTTTGATGGGTCTTTGTCTGCAACCAGCTGCTGAACCACAGCTTCACCCTCCATGCCCTGCTCACCTGTGCCACTCGAGATGACCTCATCTACACCCGCATCAGGTACATCTTGGGCCCTCCAGGCATGAACCATTCATATGGCCTCATGCTGGCCAGCTGCAGGCCTGCCTAGGTTCTTCCCTGGAAACCATAAGGGCACCTGGGTCCCCTGAGGACAGAGGAGGCATCAGGCAGACAGCGGTCACCAGAGAGAGCCCACATTGAGCCCACTACCCCTAGGGGAGGGATGGTATGCCGCATCTGGAGAGCCATCTTGGCACAGCGAGCAGGACCCACGCCAGTTACTCCTGGACCCTGGGAGGCTGAGTGAGCACATCAGAGGCAGGACGGACGCGAGGATGGATGACTGGAGAAGATGCAAGCTGCTTCTGACGCGCCCGCCCCAAGACCCTTGGGCAACTACAGGAGGCCAGGCGGGTAGGGGCCAGGGTAGGGCCCAGGTCTAGCCCCAGTGGGAGGAACCAACCAGAAGCACCCAAGCACACTGGGCACTACCAGACAGAGATTATTAAACAGAACATTTTCGTACCCTTGTCCTGACAATTTCGGAGGGGGGTGTGTGTGGGTATCCTAGGAACAGCCCCAGGGTCTTTGTGTCAGAGTCTGAAGTTCCCTAATCTGGCCTCTCTCACCTCCCTGGCTCTTTCCTGCCGTGGCCTTCCTTCCTCTCTCTCCCAGCAGACACCAGCCCCTTATTTCCCTTGAGACAGACTTTATTGACTTTGGCTAAGGGCAGACCCTGAGATGGAGGTCCAGAGAGAGGGGTTGGTAGGGCTACGTCCTGGGGGCCAGGTTGGTTCTGAGGGGTAGAAGGCCAGCCACCCACTCGCACGGCTGCTCCAGGAGTGTCTGCCACAGACGCTTCTCCTCAGGTGTGGAATCCATCCAGGGCACCTCGAGCCCGTAGCTGCTGCCTGGATGTGGGCGGGCAGGGGTGAGGGCATGGTCATGCTGGGCACCTCAGGGCCCAAGAAACACCTGCCTGGTCCCAGATTATGCACTGTTCCCAGTCATTCCCAGTTCCCAGGGAATCCAAAGCTCAGGAAAGGGCAGAGAAGTGCCCAAGGCCGCCCAATATTGGCTCCCCTCAGGGCCCTGCTCTGCTTACCGGTGCCCAGGCTGAGGCGTGCGCCCCCCAGCTGGCGGCTGGCCAGGGCCCCGTGGTCCCAGAGGGAGAGCTCAGCACAGGCCTGGCGCAGGTCAGCAGGCCCAAAGCCATCGTAAACCATGGTGTGGTTGAACACGGGGCTGAGGCTGCGACGCACCACCCTGGTACGCTGGCGGCTGGCCCGGCTGTCATCAGGCAGCACAGAGCTGTAGGGGAGATGGGCTGGCATCAGGTGACCACCACCCCCTCGCACTTCCCTAGAGGCAACCAGTCATGAAGTCCTACCCATTCTCCCTCACGTATGTCCATGTCCCCTGGCTCCTGCCTGAAACCTGGCCTCAAGCCTTCACTGCCCTGGGGCCTTTGCACCAGCCCCCTCTTAGGGCTCCTGCTTTTTAAAGATTCAACTCCTATTCAAAGGACCCCAGAGTGATGTCTCTGAAACGCAATTCTGCTACTTCCTGGCTCAGTGACTTTCACTGGATCCCTGTTACACCCCCACTCCCTGTAGTTTCCAAAGTTTTCGAAGCCTCAGAACTCTTTCTGAAAAACAAAATATTGCTCAAAGGAACAATACAAACAGAATGCCTCTAGCTGAATCAGGGTTAGGAGCTCAGAACAGAATTGGTCTACCTCCATTTCTCTCTCTGAGGGTGGGGCAGCACCTGGAGGCACCCCTGAAAGCTTACTTTGAAAACCACTGAACTACAAGTTCAGGGCCAAGTCCCACAGCCTGGCTTTCCAGTTCTCCATGGAGGGGCTCCTGCTGCCTCTCAGCCTCAGCTCTCCAAGTCCTACAGGCCCCAGGCACCCTAAAATGCAGCTCCTCAAAGGGGTCGTCAATTTTCCTGACTCCAGGCCTTTGCTCAAGCTGGCCCCTTCACCCCTGCTCAGTTGTCAAAGCCCAGGCTGGGGGGGTCAGGGTTGATTCCTAGGGGTTCGGAGGTTGGGAGCTCCACTGAAAAAAGAAGGAGAGCAGGGAGCACCCTGTGCGCCTCACCATTGCACGAAAGTATCCAGGGATCCCGAGCGCAGTGGAATGAGGTCCTGAGCTTCCTTCACCCAGAAGTGCAGCTCTCCGCTCGGGGGCAGTCCCGCGCCTGCGGAGAGGCTCGCTCGGCTCAGGCCCGCCCCCCAGAGGCCACCCGCTCGCGGGACAGCAGGAGTCTTCCGCCTCCCAGGGCCCGTCCAGCTTGGCCTCCCGCGGGGCGGTCACTCACCCTCCGAGCCGGCGGGGACGTACTTGAGGGACAGGGAGAGCAGCCCGCGGCTGGGAAGCTCGTCGGGAGAGGGTGGGACCTGCGGGAGGTGGGCTCGTCGTGGGGTGGGTGCAGGGTCTAAGGGAAAGGGGCTCAAGGGGGCGGGGTCTCCATAAGCAATGGGGTGTGGTTAGCGGGGGCGGGGCCTCCAGAGAAGACCCCTGGGGATCCTAGCATCGGCAGGCAAGGGGCCTTAGGTTGTGAGTCCAGGGGAGGCTCTGGAAAGCACGGTAGGGTGGAGGCGGGAGATCCGTGCCGCAGGTCTCCCCACGCTCCCAGCTGCCTCACCCGCGGCTGTAGGGGGAGCCAGGTGGGCTCACAGTCCCAATTCCACGTATCCAGGGGCACTTCGACTTCGCCCAGAAAGATGTTGCGACCCAGGCTTTCGCGGTGCCACACCGACAGGCTCAGCACGCGGCCCGGGAGCTCGGCCTGCGGGACTGAGTACTGGGGACAGGAGGTGCGTTTTAGTGGAGCAGCGCTGGTGGCCCGAAGTGTTGACTGGGGCGGGTCCTACCACGCTCCTAGCAGGATGGAATCCTGGGGAGCTCCGGAGGGCATTAATGGGGGCCTGGACTATCACCACGCCTACCACAAGACTAACAAACTGTGCTGGTCCGAAGGTCCCCAGTTCTCTCAATTGATTGTTCAGTTACAAATGGAACTCCTTGTTCTACTCTTTCTCCCTTTCTCACTACTGCACTTGACGAGTCTTTTTTTTTTTTTTTAAACAGGGTCTCCCTCTGTCGCCCAGGTTGGAGTGCAGTGGTCATCTTAGCCCACTGTAACCTTAAACTCCTGGCCCCAAGAGATCCTCCTGCCTCAGCCTCCCAAGTAGCTGGGACTACAGGCGCACGCCACCACGTCCGGCTAATTTTTCTAATTTTTAGTAGAGATGGGGTCTCGCTATGGTGCTCAGGCTGGTCTCGAACTCCTGGCACCAAGAGATCCTCCCGCCTCAGCCTCCCAAATCTTTGGGATTACTGGAGTGAGCCACCAAGTCCGGCCTTAACTAGTTAAAAAAAAAAAAAAATTTTTTTAAAGACTGACATAATGGGGAACGCGTTAATGGGGGCCTCCCTGCCGACGCTCCAGCAGAATAAAGAATGTCCCCGCCACGCAGCCCCGCAGGAAGGTGTATCCTGCTCATTAAAGGGGGGCCGCACTGTCGTCGCGGCCTTACCCGCAGAGTCTCGTTGAAGACGGGGTTCAGATTCCGTTTCTTCACGGCCGTCTTGCGCTTGCTCTGCTTATCCGGGAGAAGGTAGCTTTTGACGTAGCTGGGGCGGGGGAAGTGAGGGCCCGCGGTCAGGAGGGGCCCTCCCAGCCTGCCCCTGGGCCTGGGCATCGTGCTGCAGGAGTCTTACGGGATCAGCTCACGCAGCCCAGGCCTCCCACACGGTGCCATTCCCATTTTGAAGACGGGGCACCCGAGGCCGAGAAAGTGAGTGGCATGTTGGGCTGTGAGAGCCGCCTCCTCGCGCCCCCGCACCGCCCGGAGGGGAGCCGGGCGGGGCACTCACGGGTCGGAGCGGCGGCGCCGCGCGGCGGCCAGGCCCTGGCACTGGATCACGTGCACGCGCAGCTCGGCGGCGCCCGGCTCGTAGTGCAGCGCGAAGTGCACGGAGCCGCGCACCGGCACCGCCTCCGCCTCCCCAGACAGGCTCATCTGGCTGCCGCTCAGCTGCGGGAGAGGGCGGCAGTCAGGGCGAGCGCGGGGCTCACGTCGGGGCTGGGGGAGCGCTGAGGGTTCAGACCCCGGCATGGGGGTGGGAGCGCTGGGTTCCGGGGTGAGGGAGGGGTCCGGCTGGGGCTATGCGTCGGGACGTGGAGGGAGGAAGCGCCCACCTCCAGTCTCCCCCAGGCCCTCTCCCTCACCCCCTCACCGTGGAGGAGTTCAGGCTGGACACGGAGGAACTGCTGCTGAGCATGCGGTCCGGTGCGGGACCAGACGCCGGGGCCTCCTCCCCGTTCTCCAGTATCTTGCGTGCAGCCTTGGTCCGGAGAGGGGAGAAGTGTCGGGGGCGCCCCCTTTTTCCCTTCCCCTCCCCCGACCGCACGGGGTCGCAGATGGCTCGTAGCCCTGGGGAGGAGCACTCCCCGCCGAGAGTCCGCTCCAGGTCTTGAGAGCAGCTGCAGGCCGCTCCCGCCTACCTGGGCTGGCGGGGGCAGTAGCTCCCTCTCTACCCGCGACGCGGGCTCCAGCTCCGGTTCCAACTCCTCCGCGCAGACCTGCACGCCCCCTTGGCCAGGGGCTGGAGTGGAGCAAAGGCTGCTGAGCGAGCCCCTCTCCTGCCCGCCCTCCAGCAAATCTGGAGGGACTGGTTTACAACCCTGGTGACCTGCAGATTCAGGCGCCGATCGATCGGTGCTGCCCAGTGGTTGCTCATGGAAGCCACACGGAACCCCCCCACACAACGCGGGAGGAGGAGGGTGAACACAGGTGTTTGGGGCCAGTTAGAGCTGCCTCTGATCCCTGAAACTTCTCTGTGTGCCCCAACACATGCTCCCACTCACCTTCCTGGGCCTGGGGCTCCTCCTCCTGATCTGAAGCCTTTAGGAGGACATATGGCGATGGGAAATCAGGTCCCTGAAAGAAGGGTGGGATAGAGGTCACAGTGGGGGCTAGTGAGGAAGGGTCAAAGGTCATGCTGGGGTGACCAGGTCAGAGGCTCCCACCATATACCCCAGTTTCAGATTTAGGGCAGCCCTCAGGGCAGAGCTGCAGGACCAGTCAGACCTGTACTTCATACCCCTCACACCTTGCCCGCCCTGCGTGACTCCCAGGCTCTCTCACTGGGGTGTGGGGAGTGGCACAGTACCCTCTGAGACCCTGACCTCTCAGCTCAGTCCCACCCCTCTCCTAATATTCACAAGTTCCCTTAGAGGCCAGGTCCACACCACCCTTTCACCAGGGAGGACACTGAGGCCCAGACAAGGGAAGGGGCGTCCCAGGTCTCCTGCTTCCCCTGGCTCAGGCTCTTTCCCAGGAACATTTGCCTCCACTCCAGGGGCACTGTGTACTCATTTAGTAACTCCTTCCTGCGTTACTCACCTCAGTCTCCTTGAGCGTCTCTTGGGGGGCCTCATCTATGGGGGGTCTAGGAGTAGGGAGACATAGTTTTCAGGGAGGGGACCCAGGTGGCCGGTAGGCAGCTTCTCTCCTCTCCCGAGTCGCATCCTCACCTGGGCTCTGGCTCCTCTTCGTTCTCTTTCCCAGAAGCCTCAGCCTCCCCATTGCTGCCCACGGCCTGATCTCCTGGGCCCAGGTGAGAAGCTCTGTGAGCCCCCTTCTCAGGAAGTGTGCCTGTGACTCACAGCAGAGGCCCTTGGAGATGCCTGCCCACCTCCCATAGCCCATGGAAGGGCATTGCCCACCCAAAGACACACGGTATTGGGACAGCCAGGATGGGAGCTCAGGGGTCCTCTCTCTGTCCACAGACAGCCAGTGCCCTGGACTACAAAGGCTTGCCCACCCTGGGATCTCCCCTCACCCCTGGAGCTCTTCTTCCTGCGGATAGAGGCTCGGACAAGGTCAGAGCCAAAGTGTGCATGGTGATGCCGTTGGGAGCGTGCTTCCTGGAACCAGTCCCCTGTCAGGATCTTCAGCTGCCCAGGGTCCACCAGAGAGGCCCGGAGCTTGCTGGAGGATGGAGGAGAGTGTGGCTGTCACTACTCACCCAACCAACATTCCTGCCACCTGCTCTGTACCAGGCTCTGTACAGGGACCAGGGACCCAGCAGCAAATCAGACTTGATCTGTGCTGTGGAGGAGCCCAGGTTGCTGGGGAGATGAGCCCAGAAGAGACAAGCACAATATAGTGAGGTAGGTGATGTGACAGATGTAAGAAGGGCCAACCCTGCCTGTGGGAATCCAGGAGGGCTTCCCAGAGGTGGTGACATTTGAATTGCTTCTTCTTTGTTTTTTTTTTTGAGACAGAGTCTCACTGTGTTGCCCAGGCTAGAGTGCCGTGGCGTCATCCTATCTCACAGCAACCTCAAACTCCTGGGCTCAAGCGATTCTTCTGCCTCAGTCTCCCGAGTAGCTGGGACTACAGGCATGTGCCACCATGCCCGGCTAATTTTTTCTATATATTTTTAGTTGTCCAATTAATTTCTTTCTATTTTTAGTAGAGATGGGGTCTCGCTCTTGCTCAGGCTGGTCTCGAACTCCTGAGCTCAAACAATCCGCCCGCCTTGGCCTCCCAGAGTGCTAGGATTACAGGCGTGAGCCACCGCGCCCGGCCTTGAATTGCTTCTTAAAGGACAAATCAGAATTCTCTAGGTAGAGAAGGATACAATTAGGTAATTACTGTGGACCATGCTTGCATAATCCCTCTTAATCTGTGAGGTAGGACTCCCTAGTCCCATTTTACAGATGAGGAGTGTGGTACTCAGGGAGGTCAGGTAAGTTGCCCAAGGTTACATAGCCAGGAAGTGTCTGTCCCCAAATGCTGCTTGGAATGCCCATGTTCCTCTGCCTTTGTGCTCTTCCAGAAAGAAGGAACAGCACAGGCTTGGAAGTGACAGGTGTGTTCAGAGACTGGGGAGCAGCTGGTGCTGTGTGGATACTTTGTGTGCGTGTGTTGGGTGGGGGTTATGGAGAAAGATGAGATGGTGGAGGCTGGCATGGACCAATGAGAGAGGCCTTGTGGACAGCCCGGCGGGGGTGGGGGTGGGTTTCAACAGAGATATTAAGGACAGATATGGGCAGCTCTGGCTGCAGCATGGCGGGTGGGCTGGAGGGAAGCTGGCAAGGGAGCTGGCACAGCCACCCTGGGAAAGGTGATGAGCTCTGAGCTGGCCAAGGCCAGAGGGGACCAAAGGGTGAAACCAAGAACCACTCAGACATCTGCCAGGCAGCATGTTGGGAGCCACTCAAGCCTCCCACTTCTCCTCTGGCCTGGGTCTCCCTGCCTCACCTGACCCGCCCCTCCTCCAGCTGGCGCAGGCGGGCATCTCGCTTGAGGACCTCAGTGATGGCCTCTTGCTCCTCCTCCGTCAGGAAGCTGAGGTCCAACAGTCCTTCAGCCTCAGGCTCTGGCCGATGCTCCATGGTGGGGGAGGGCAGGGCCCAAAGCCCCTCTTGAGATGGGTGCCCCCTCTGGGGCATCAGCTGGGGCCGTGCCCCAGCTGGGCACACGTGGCTTCCTGGGGTAAGACCAAGGACCAGGTTGAGCCCTGCACAAATACACAGCACATCCTGGAGCCAACTACCCTTTTCTCTCTAAACATATGCCCAGGTGGTGGGTAGCGTACAACCCCAAGAAGGCTGAGGTCAAGGTGGGGTGAGATGCACCCATTGACATATGCATACACTGGCCCATGAACACACTCAGGGACATACTCAAAGAAGTGTACAGAGACACACATGCACACACTGATCCGTGTAGGCACAAATACCCACAGTCACACATGCACACTGATACCTGTATAAAGACAGGCACACACACCTGTTCCCCCATGAAGGGACCTCTGCAGACACAGGCAGAAACCTATGCCCAAGAGAGAGACATGTGCACATATCCTTAAACCTGCACATGGCATGTGCACACAAAGGTGGACAGGGGGACAGGGGCCCACCCAAACAGATTCACCCATACAAAAATAAATCTGGAGACAAATATGTCCCTAGGTATATGCACACAGACTTTTGCACACATACACTGCCCATCTAACTGGGTTGTGAGCTCCTCGAAGGTAGGGGCAGTGAATCACCCTCAAAGCCAGTACTTTGCACACAACAGATGGTTGGTACAAGTCTGATTAATTAAATACAGAAATACACCTGCACAGTCAGGAATTCACACACACGACCACCGACCCACCCACCCACACACACATACACACACACACCTGCTCACCCCCTGCTCTGGCAACCTCTCCCCCTGGCTCCTCACCCTCCACCCTTCACCTCCACCCTGCCCTGGCCCATTTGGCCTTCCTGTCTGAGGCAACCACCTCCCTAGCCCACACCCCCACTTCCTCCCCCGAGGTAACTGCTGCACCCAAGCCTACTGAGGCCTCCAGTCCAGGGATGCCCCCACTGCCAGCCCTGCCCTCTTGCCCAGAGCCCCTGGGCCCCTCTGCTCTGGCCACATGGTCCCTCAGCTCTCGCCCTAGACCTGGCTGGGGGCCCGGCGGTGCAGGCCTAGGCCGGCAAAGCAGCTTGTGCCCAGGTACCACAGTGACTCCGGAAGGAAAACATTTGCCCAGTCCTGAGGGGCGTGTGGACGTGGCAAGGGGCCCATGACTCGGCCACAACTGTGGCCTGAGCCTACTGGGCGGTCTCTCCTTTCCTCCCCACCCCTTCCATGCCAGGGCTCCAGGTGGGGCTAGGATGGAAGAGGGTGGCTCCGCAGGCAGGTCCTGGCTTGTGCCTGCCACCTCCTGCGCTCTGTCCCCTCCCAGCTGAATCAGTGTCCAAGCCCAAGTGAGGCCTCTCCCCACAATGACCTGTCCCAGGAGCCTAGGGTTTCTGCGCGTCCATATGGTATATAACACTGTGTGAATGCCCGTGCGCTCAACATTAACAATTTTCCTGAACTTTTATGTCCGAAGCGCTGAGTGTTGCAAACGCACAGTTTGGCCCCCTCTGGGGAATGGCGCCTGAGCCCCAGTTTCTGTCTCCGCGGCGTTGTCTGGTGTGCGAGTCTGGGCATGGTGGGCGTGTCTGTGTACCGTGGAGTTTATGTGCAGTCTGCCTGTGTGAACATTGTCTCACTGTGTGTGTGCCTGTGTCTCGTCTCAGTGTGATGCTGCATGGGGACTACATTGTCTGCGTGTTGTGTTCAGCGACTTTCTGGGTGACAGCACTATGTGGGTGTGTGCACAGTGTGCATTTCCTCCTGTGCTGCATGTGTGACTGGGTGACTGGGCTGTGTATTGTGGTGTGTCCCCTGATATGTGGGTCTGAGGGTGGAAGTGGGGGGATGTTCGGCAGCCCTGAGCCTGGGCTGGGCCATGGGCATCTGAGCCCAGTGTCCCCAGAAGCACCCTCTCCCCACAGTCCTCTCTCCGTGCGGAGGCGGAATCCAGTATCTAGTCCTCCCTGCTGTTTCAACACTAAAGGACAGACCCTCGGGTCAACAGGAGGGTCTGTCCACCTGCCCGGCTGTTCCAGTCCCAGACATGCTCCCGCCTCCCCAACCCCAAGGTCCCAAGGTGCCCAAGGGTGCTCAGGATACCAGGTGGCAGTGCCTGCCCCTCTGGCCCCTGACAGGGGACCCTGGCACCTAGGTGTTACCTGTAGGAGTCCAGTATGGGAGGACACTTTCCTAGGAGGCTCCAGCTCCCCTGGGCCAAGTTTCAGGGACCTGGAGAAGAGCAGTGAGAGACTAAGGCTGACTCAACCCGCGGCCCACAGCAGCTGCCCCACCGCGAAGGAGGAGGAAACACCTCTGCAGGGCTTGATGCAAAACCGGGCCTGGACTCCCAGCTCCCCGGGGACACGCCCAGGCAGCCGACAGGAGAGTGCGGGACTTGGCCCCAGCTCCACTGCGGACTCAGGGGAATGGGAGCAGGCCCCAACCCCTCTGTAGAATGCACACCAGTCCCACCCTGCCCCCAGAGCTGATAGGAACTTGCTTTGAAAGCAAAGTTAGAAACCTTTCTTTGTAAGCATCTGGGTAATGGCAGGATTGCAGACTTTGCAGGTATACAACCCTGAGCAGACTCCCTGCTCTGCCACTGTGGGACCTGTGCAGGTCTCTTAACCTCTCTGAGCAGCAAAGTCTTCCCACAGCAGAGGCAAGAGGCCTATTATAAGGGAAATGAGGCGGGGCAGGGTGGCTCACGCCTGTAATCCTAGCACTCTGGGACGCCAAGGCAGGAGGATTGCTTGAGCTCAGGAGTTCAAGACCAGCCTGAGCAAGAGTGAGACCCCCGTCTCTATCAAAAAGAAAAAAAAAACAATAATAATAAAATAAGAGACTAGCCTGAGCAAAAGCAAGACCATGTCTCTACTAAAAATAGAAAAAATTAGCTGGGCGTGGTGGTGTGCACCTGTAGTCCCAGCTACACAGAAGGCTGAGGCAGGAGGATCACTTGAGCCCAGGAGTTTGAGGTTGCTGTGAGCTATGATGACACCACTGTACTCTACCCAGGGCGACAAAAAGAGTGAACCCCTTTTCCAAAAAAAAAAAAAAAAGAAAAAACTAAAAGTGCCTGGTACAAGCTGGCATATAGCTGATGCCAGGTATGCTGTCTTCAACACAGTCTAGTACCCAGTACCTGTGGTCATTTCAGCAACTACCACCTCTCCATGTCCACATACACCTCTGGGAAGTGCTGGCCACAGCAGAGCAGCTCTTTCCGTCCCCTCTGCCAATCTGGGCCCCGTCTGTTTGGGAATGGACTCTTCCAGTGCCAAGGTGAGGGTCCCACACCCTCTATGGGGAGTCTATGGGGAGTCCCTCTGAGCACCCTATTCTGCTCCCAGACTTTGGTCCCAGATTACGTTGGCTCCAGGACCATGAACTACTTGGGCTGTCTTCATTCTGGTCTTGGGCACAAGAGGCCAAGCCAAAGCTCCCCAACTGCCTCTAAGTCTACCTCTTTCCCCACTGCCTGCCCTGCCACCCCCTTCCCATGCCACCTGGGGCCATGGATTGAAGATGAGGGGGTGTCTCACAGAGGAGCTGGGGCAAGGGGTGGATTCTAAACCCTACTCCTCCTCTCCTCCTCGGAACTGGCTCCTGAATGTTTCCACCTCTGAGAGATTGGGGGGTCCCACCTCCACCCAAGCCCAATGTCCAGCCTTCCCTATTTATTTTTTGCAAGTTAATGTTATTTTCAGAGCCTCTTTTCCCTCATCCGTTAAATGGGGGCAATAATCCCACCTCGGAGGGTTTTCACTACCATGAGATCCCAGCAGACTCTTACTGCAGATATGCATTTACATGTGCAATACCCTCTGAGTGGCCACCGTGGGAACATTACTGGGACAGTAGACGTCTCCTCAGTCAAGGCCCCGACATGGAAGGAGAACAGCCAACGGCATCCTCACTACTTCCCACCCGCTGTCCTGGTCCCAGCTCCCCACAAGGATGAATCTCTAGGCCCCCCCGAAGCTCCCGGAGGCACGAAACTTCATTGGTCTTCAAGCTTCTAAATTACCCTTCTCTGCTCTCCTGTCCTCCCTCTAGCTGTGACTCTCCAGGACTCCAATATTTCCAGCCAACTCTCCTGCTGTCATCTCAACCCGACTTCATCTGGCCCCCTCCACCTGAAACCTCTTATTCCCAAGTTTCCACGTTGGTAGCCAGCCCTCCTGGTCCTGGCCCCAGGCTTCCTGCCCATCTCTTTCCCACCTTGCCGCCTCCGTCTGCCCTCCTGCTGCCCAGGTCTCAGTCCCTGCTCAGCCTCTTCCGAAAGCCTCCTCTTCTCCAGCCTCCTGGCCGCCACACCTGGCCCCTCCAGCCCTTCATTGCACAGCTGCTAGAGGGCCCTTTGGAACACACCACTTTTCTGTCATTCCTTGGGTCTGGAAGGTGCTGTCAGATAGTCAGGGTAACCCTTGGCACATTCACAAATCTCTGAGCCAGTCCAGCCCCCTTGGACATGTCACTGACAAACGCCTCACCACCTCCTAGGACAGCCCATCCCTCAGCCTGATCCGCAGGATTGCCATCGTAAATCTGCCTGTCTGTCCCTCATCCTACGCCCTTAAAGCCTTAGCTACAGGCTCTACGTCCTGTCCCTTCAACACCCAGGTCCTTTGGTCCTTTTGAGCTGCCTGCTAAACTGCAGGAATGCTTCCCCCAGCCAGCCGTCAGCCCCCCTCCAGGACTAGCTCAGCCTCCTCCGGAGTTCAGTGTCTCTGCACTGCGGCCAGTCTCCAGGCAGCGTCCTTTGGTTAAGTGGCAGGGTCCTGGAAGCCAGATCTGGGTTAAAATTCTGGCTCTGCCACCTGGTTCCTTTGTGGCCTTGGATCAATGACAACCTCTGTAAGCCTTACTCTCTCCCTTTATAAAGCGGGGACAATAGCAGCCATCTCATAGGACTGTTGGAAGGACTGCTTTCTTTTTTTCACCTCCAGCATCCATTCTCCCTTCTTTTTGGTCACAGCACCTACAACATCCTTTGCAGAAGCAGCCCCTCTCCACTTGCACCCTCGTGCTCCAGCGAGGCTGTCTCAAAGGGTGGTTCCGAGTGGAGGCTGGGAGCCAGGCTGCTGGGCCCGAGCCATGGTTCCACTCCTCCTCCTCTTGCCATCTTGAGCAGTTCACTTGACTGCTCTGTGCTTACTTCTACATCTGCAAATGGAATAACTGACCTTGAAGGGCTGTTATGGGGATAAATAAGCCAATACTTTATTACAAGGTAGTATGCACTGTCCTACTTAAGCACTCAGTAAATATTGGTGACTTTCATGGCAGCTGTGTATGTCCTGTTTCCCCAAGGCCAATTTTAAGTTCTGCTTCACTGAAGCAGCCTCAAAACTTTTCTATCTATTCTTCTGTGGTTGTCCTCAGTACTGAACTTATCTCCCCGACTCAACTCTCAGATAGAACCAATATGCAAAGCAGGTTTAAAAGTTTTCTTTTTTTTCAGAGACAGGGTCTTGCTCTGTCATCCAAGCTGGAGTGCAGTAGCATGATCCTTGCTCACTGCAGCCTTGAACTCCTGGGCTCAAGCGATCCTCCCACTTCTGCCTCCCAAGTTGCTGGGACTACAGGCATACATCACTGCACCCAGTCGAAAAAGGTTTTTTTTTTTTTTGAGACAGAGTCTCACTATGTTGCCCTGGCTAGAGTGCTGTGGCATCATCCTAGCTCACAGCAACCTCCAACTCCTGGGCTCAAGTGATCCTCCTGCCTCAGCCTCCCGAGTAGCTGGGACTACAGGCTGCCCTGGCTAGAGTGCTGTGGCATCATCCTAGCTCACAGCAACCTCCAACTCCTGGGCTCAAGTGATCCTCCTGCCTCAGCCTCCCGAGTAGCTGGGACTACAGGCATGCGCCATGCCCGGCTAATTTTTTCTATGTATTTTTAATTGTCCAATTAATTTCTTTCTATTTTTAGTAGAGACGGAGTCTCGCTCTTGCTCAGGCTGGTCTTGAACTCCTGAGCTCAAACAATCCGCCCGCCTCAGCCTCCCAGAGAGCTAGGATTACAGGCGTGAGCCACCGCGCCTGGCTCCGAAAAAGGTTTTTGAAAATGGAATTGCTGTGGTCAGGAGCGGGTACCTGTGCCTTGCCCTAAAGTCCCAAGCTTGGAAGCCATAGCACTGCAGGGCCTGGGGCCAGCTAGCAGACGCCTGATCCAGGGCCTAATGGCCAGCTGCTAGGGCCTGTCCTCAAGGCCATCCTCAGGATGATGAGCACCAAGGATTCAAATCCTTGGCTAGTTCAACTGAAGTAACAAGTGGGCAGGGTAGGGAAAGACTTCACCAAGGAGGCAGCTTTCGGGAAGGCAGGCCACAACTTCCACAGGTAGAAAGCAAAGGACTGGGCAAGTGCCAGAGAGCAGGGTGTGCAGAGCACAAGGAGCCCGGGGAACCTTGAAGGCCACTGCCATGGAACAGGGCCGTGACACAATCATGAGGGTCAGCATGAGTTCAGCAATGTGACCGATGGATATGGCGGGGCTGGGGGCTGGCAGTTCTCTTGGCTTATCCCAAACTGTGTACCCCTGGAGGAGGGGACAGGTCCAGGGCCCTAGTCTGCCCAGTGAAAGTCCCGCTCAGCCCCAACCCTAACCCCAGTTCTTCCCAACAGGGGAGATGGGACAGGTTTTGATATTTATTTGCCTCAAGGAGACACCTTTCAAATGGTGGGTGTGGAGTGACGGGGATTCCCACAGCCTGGGCACCAGGCAGCATATACCTCAGGGATGCTGGTGGCACTGCAGGCTCCGGGCACTGAACACAGACCCAACCTATGGGGCCAGCGACCAGACTCCTTGCCAAGGGGAGAGAACTGAGGGGCGAGGGGGCTGCAGAGAGGGAGGACACAATGCAGAGCACCACCCAGAGTCAAACTCTTTATTACCCTGCCCAGGGAGCCCCGCAGGAGGGAATCTGCAGAGCAGGAGGGCAGGGTGGGTGGCACAGGGCCCTTTGTGACAACTTGAAGGGGGAGTGACAGTCAGGTGTGAGAAACAACCCCCTGCTCCATGATGGCACTGGCTATGCTGGCATGCCACTGTATTTTGGACCCACAGGGAGCCATCACCAGCACGAGGCCCACACCTGGGGCTGGGGCCAAGTGCTGTTCACACTCCCCTGTCTATACGGTCACTCTGGTACATGTCAGTTCCATGCACCTCTCCAGCCAGGACCCCAAACTTCAGGGGCCCAGTGCTGGGAGGCCCTGGGAGGATGAAGAGGGCTGCACGGCCTGGAGGATGCCAGTGACAGGCACACACTTCCCCCAGTGCAACTGCTGGCAGATATCCAACAGAGCAGCCCAGCCAGCCCTTCTGGACTGTTCTAGAGGCCTAGGGCAGCTTAGCTTATAGGGACTTCTCAGTGTACCCCGACCCACCCCAGGACCAGAGCTAATGCAGAAGGGCAGGCTCCTAATCCAGCTCTGGTCCCAGTGCTGCCTTGTCCAGTGGGTCCAAATGTCCTCCCCTCCCCACACTGGGCACGGGCCCAGCAGGCACTGGCAAGAGAGGCTCTACAGAGGGTAGCTAAGGCTTGGAAAGGGTAGCTTGCTTTGGAAAAGCTAAGGCTTTTCCAAAACAAGAACAAAGAGGGGGCCTTAAGGGCGGGGGTCACAAGCCTGGGGAGAAGGGACAGGGGGCTTCTGAGTGGTCAGTGAGAAAACAAACACTCCCACCCCACAGCTCATCCTCAGCCCTTCCACCTAGCCCACACCCCAGGGTCCAAAAGAACAGGCCAACCCTGTCTTTTGGGGTAAAGATAAAGAATCTGGAACCAAAAGAGGGTGATAGCTGCCTCTTTGGGAGCCTGGTGGGTTCCGGGCCACAGGGCAGCCATCACCGGAGGTTGAAGACGAGGCTGACGGTCAGAATGATGCCGAGAAGGAGCACGAAGGGCAGCCAGGTCTTCACGAAGGCCCCGACGCTGACAGAGAGGAACAGGAACAGAGCACAGGGGGCAGGACCAGGTGAGCAGGCGTGTGGCCCAGAGCCCCATCCACAGACCCTGACAGGGCTGCCACCCCTAAAGAGGCCCCTGGAACCATTCCCTCACCCCTGAACTTGGTCAAGCCAGGGACTGGGCTGGGCCTGGCACTCACTATGGGGGACCACCAACTATAGTCAGGGGCAGCGGCTGTTCCAGGTTCCTGGTGGAGATCTACTGACACCTCGCTGGTTGGGTACAGCAGATGTGCCCACCCTCTCTGGGCCTCACTGGCTCCATCCATAACCACCCGTCTCTGAGAGAGGTCTCTAGCAAGAGGACCAGGAACTTTAGTTCTGGTGTAGAAGCCCTGAGTGCTCTCTGCCCACAGCCCTCAAAATGGGTCCCGCTGGGGGCGGGATGGGGGGTGGTTGGCAAGAGCTTGACAGTGCTGTGGCTGGAGCCAAGGGCCTGGGTTCGACCCTGGCTCTGCCTCAGTCTCCATGTGACCACAGTTATGTTCTTCTCAGGGGACTTCTAAAAGCCCTCCAGGACTAAAAAATACTTCTGAGAGTCTCCTTTCAGAAGCTCCTAATAAGGAGCACGGCTAAGAAGAACGCTCGGAGGGAGGCGGCAAGATCAGCCCAGGCATGTGCTGGCTCCAAGTCTGGGCTCTGCTGTGGCTGTGCTGTGGGACCATGGGTGACTCACTCAACCTGAGCTCTCCCTTTACCTCTGAAATGGGACGAATGCCTTTGACTTCACAAGAGGCTGGGGCTTCAAAGGTCCTCCCAGGCCACCACTGGGACTCACCTGCCCAGGACTCTGCCTCTGACAAGGGAGGCTTGGGAGGGACCCTGTGGGGGTGGTCCACACACCATCCTGTGAGGACCCAGCTGTTCACTTTACCTGAGTGCAGAGCTCTGTAGACGCACAGCCTCCCTGAGCAGCCAGAATCATTGCCCCATTTTGCCAAGGACAGCTGCAGCTCAGACAGGCAGTTACCCAAGGTCTCACAGTGAGCAAGTGCCAGAGCTGTGCGGCGACCCAGGTAGAACGGGACTTCAGAAAAGCCACCCGGAGCTTAGCTAGTCATTCTAGGACCTTCATGGCTCCAACTGTCCCTGCTGACTGAAGGACTCCAGAAATGGTCTTTCTGGGATCCTTGGGAGAGCAGCCCTGGGGGAATGTGTGGGTAGGTGGGCAGCTCACCTGACGTACTTCCCATAGAGCAGGCAGAAGAAGCAGAGTGTCACCATATTCCAGTTGGTGCTGTTGTTGTAGCGCATCAGGTTGAGGGCCAACGCCACGTGCGAGTGGCAGTTGTCACAGCAGAGATTGTGCTGGAGGCGCCGGAAAGGTTGCATCAGGATGGGTCACGGGGGAACCTCCCGCCCTGGTCCTGCCTCAGGAGCACCAGCCCCGCCCCCGCCAACCTACCATGCGGTGCTTGTACTCCTCAGAGGCGTCATGCACAGCTGTGTCCCAGGCATTGGGCCCGCTAGCGTATACCTGAGCAGGGTCCAACTTCCAGTACCTGATGGGAGAGAGGGGGCTCTGGACCCTGGCTCAGTTCCCTTGTGGCCCCTCAGCTCTGTGCCCTGAGCTGGGTGCTGAGGCTGTGAGGCTGAGGTCAGATCCTGGGCAAGAGTCACGCAGCAGACAACCTTAACACAGGGCAGGCACCCAGTACCGCGGTGGATCCTGGGAGGACATGGAACTAATTCAGTTTGGGGATGCTATGGTCTGAATGTTTGTGTCCCCCTCAAATTCATACACTGGAATCCTAACTCCCACTGTGATGGTACGAAGAGGTGGGGCTCGTGGAAGGTGATTAGGTCATAGGGGTGGAACCCTCATGAACGGGATTAGTGCCTTTATAAAAGAGGCCTGAGAGGACCCCTCGTTCCTTCCACTGTGTGAGGACACAGTGAGAAGGCGCTGTGGGTCCTCACCAGACACTGAGACGCATTGATCTTGGACTGTCTGGTCTTTGGAGCAGTGAGAAATCAGTTTCTGTTGTTTATAAGACATCCAGTGTCTGGTATTTTGTTACGGCAGCCCGAACAGACTAAGACGGGGGAGGGGTGCTTCCTTGAGGTGATGAGTACCTGAAAGCGGAGAGTTTGGCCAGGCACAGAAAGGGGAGGTGGGCGTTCTAGGCCAAAGGAACGGCTTAAACGAAGTGAGAGGCATAAAACTGTGCAGTATGTCCCAGAAATTAAGGGACTCAGAAGGACAAACAGGGTGAAGGAATGCTGGTAGGTGCGGCTGGAGATGAGGTGGGGCCACACCACGCCGGGAGTTTGCAAGCATTGTCCCCATCTTCCACACAGCTCACTGAAGCCCACAAACCTGAGGTTGGGTGAGAACTGCTGTTCCGAGTAATGGACTGCCCGCTGGTCACAGGCCAGGGAGAGCCGGGAGGTCAGGGTGACCCTGGCACTGTGAGGGGGATGGCTTGGTGGAGGAGCCTAGACACAGTGGCCTGGCCGGGGGTTGCTCTTGCCTGGAAAAGGGTGTCTGAAAACTGTCCTTGGAAAGCAGCCTGGCAGAAAACACCTGGCCCAGAGACCCTTGAATCCCACTGCCTTCTGCCTAAGGACATGAGCCCTGTGCCAAGCTGCCTCTGCTGTATGGCACACTCAGCCCCTACCCCTCCTGGTGTGGCCTTGGGCAACAGGTCACTTGATGTTCTGAGAACACTGATGACTGAGGCATTGTCACCAGGCCTGCAGCTGAGGTGGGCACCTGAGACTGAAAAAATGAATACCAAAAGTCCCAAACCAAACCAACGACAGCTACCTGAGGGCCTGAACTGCTCTTACTCTCTCCAACCAGAACTTTCCAGCAGAGTTCCAAACAATGCTTCTCTTACACCTTAAATGGCTTGTTTGCTCCCAACGGGCAGGAGAGTGAGTCTAGGTTGTAGGGGGACACAGATCTGAGTGTGAGTCCCAGCCCTGCCACTTCCTAACTGTGTGACCTTGGCCAAGTTCCCTCCCTTTCCTCACCCTTGCCATGGAGTTGAAAACAGGACCTTGCAGAGCTGAGGCCTGGATGGTATATAGGAAAGGCCCTGGCCAGGGACTGGCACAGTAGGTGCTTGGTACAGGGCTGCTGTGCTCCGGTGGACCCTGGCTGTTCCTCCCCTCCGCACTCTGTCCTCAGGTGCTGTGCCCTGCTGTGCCCCAGAAGGCCCAGCCTGCTGTTCTGGGCAGGAGGAACCTGGCCCTAGGGCCAGTCACATGGGTGTGCATCACTTACTTGGCAGGCTTTCCAAAGGCCATGTTGTCTTCCTGTTGAGGGACAAGAGCAGAGGTCAGTGGGGAACCTATATCCAGGCTGGATGACAAACCTGGATGAGCAACTTAGAAGGGGGTATGTCAGGGGTACGTAGAAGTGAGGCACGGGTCCTGCCCTGGGGTGGGCACGGAATCTGCAGCGCTAGTAGTGGCTTTTCCGTGGGAAGGCGGGGGTGCAGCAGAAGTGTGTAGAGCACTGCACACTGTGAGACCAAAGACTTGGCCTCCAGTTGCCACTGTGCCTGTATGTGCCACCCAGGGAATTCTCTTGCCCTCTCTGGGCCTCATTTTCTCCAAGTTCTCTAGTGAGTCTTTTCTGATCTTTGATCTTGGGCAGCTAGTTTCCTTCATGGTCTGGCCTTCCAACCCAACAATGGGGCCCCACACGGAGCCCATCTCTGTGCCCGGCTGTCTGACTGCATTCTGAGCAGGGCGGGCGGTGCTGGGCCCAGGGCGGCTTCCTGTGAGGCAGATACTGCAACAATGCCCTTCCTAGACTCACCACATAAGACCCGGGGTGTGGGAGTTATGCAGAGACATGTTCTGGGCTCAGAATCAGGAAGACTCTGCTGACAGAGCTGGTCAAGGATGCATCATCATAAAAATACACGACAGTGAAAGTAATGGATGTGAAAGTATTTTTAAGTGCACAGTGAAAGATCTTTATCATGTCAAGATGATTGGGACAGGCCGGGCGCGGTGGCTCACGCCTATAAACCTAGCTCTCTGGGAGGCCGAGGCAGGCGGATTGTTTGAGCTCAGGAGTTCGAAACGAGCCTGAGCTAGAGCGAGACCCCGTCTCTACTAAAAATAGAAAGAAATTAATTGGACAACTAAAAATATATAGAAAAAACTAGCCGGGCATGGTGGCGCATGCCTGTAGTCCTAGCTACTCGGGAGGCTGAGGCAGTAGGATTGCTTGAGCCCACGAGTTTGAGGTTGCTGTGAGCTAGGCTGATGCCACGGCACTCTAGCCCGGGCAACAGAGTGAGACTCTGTCTCAAAAAAAAAAAAAAAAAGATGATTGGGACAACTGTTAATGTAAATAGGTTGGTGCCACTGTATCCCTTCATTCCAGCCTCTGAAACCTGGAAATAGGCAGGCTGATGCACTTTCATTGGGAGCTAGCCCACTGGGCCTGTCCCCGTCACATCCCAGGGAACAGACCTGAGAACTCAGCTGTTTCATCTTAAAGTCCCACCCCTCTTCTCTGCGGCCACACCCAGAGAACCATGTCGGCCTCCCCTGTCCCCCGAGCTCGACTCCCACCTTCTGAATGTCCAGAGATGTAGTTCCTGGATGGTCTGACTCTCCAGTCTTGCCTCTACACCCTACCCATGTCTCGGTACCCCAGGGGGCAAATGGCTGGGTCAGTTACTTAAGAATCCTTCTGGCCACACTCCCTCCTGGCCTGTCCTAGAGGCAAGAGAAGGGGGGAAGGGGTCACACGCTGGTGAGGGACAGAGGCACAGGGCAGGACTTTGTGTTATCTGCATTCTCCTGTGCTTGCAGGCAAGACAGGGTGGCCTTCCACTTAAACCTTGGAACCCTCCAGAGGGTGGCAGGATGGGGACTCACCGAGACAAAGTAGGGGCCAGCGAAATCCCGAATGACTCCTGTGGAGGTGCAGATGCCCATGTGGCCAATGATGGGGAAAAACCACCTGCAAGGAAAAAAGACAGAGAAGAGACGGACCTTAGGGGGTTTTTCAACCAGTTAGACGAATGTTGGGGACACCTGATCCAATGTGGGGGCATATGAATATAATGTGGCGTGATGAAAGCATATTGGGGCTATCCAGAGGGGCTGGGGAAGCACAGAGAGGGGCAGCTGCAAATGAACAGCACAGGGGATACCACTACACCCCCCAGAATGGCTGCAACGAAAGGCAGTAACACCCAAGCTCTCACTCACTGCTGGCGGAGTATAAACCATTTCTACCATTTTGGAAAACATTTTGGCACTACACTCTATGCCTCAGCAGTTTCTCTTTGCCCCCACCCTTGGGAAACATTTGCCAAAACTCATTGACCTGTACTCTTAAAATGGGTGCATTTTATTGTATGTAAACTATATCTCAATAAAGTTGATTGAAAAAATAACTAGAAATGATTAAATGTCCAACAACTGTAAAAAAGGTATGGAAACCATGGTGTAGTCATACAATGAAATGGTACATTACAATGAAAGGGAACAAACTTCTGCTACATATAACACAGACTTTCACAGACATGGGGCTGAGTGAAAGAAACCTTTCACGGGAGTACATAACATAATATTCCATTTACATAAAGTTTAAGAAAAGGCAAAACTAATCTATGGCCAGAGTTCCAAAGTGGGGTTGTCTTTGTGGCATAACTGGCTAGGAGGGAGTACAAGGGGGTCCTTTGGATTGGGAAATGCTCTCTATCCTCTGTCTGGATAGTGTGACATGGGTGTGTATGTATACAAGCATTCACTGAGCTGTATACTTAAGATTTGTGTACTTTTTGGTATGTAAGTTATACCTCAATAACAAAGTTTTTTTTTTTAAAAAGGTGGGGGTGTGTGTAATTTAAAACAATCTGTGGGGGTGGGGAGGAGTTCAGGCAAGGCTTCCCTGAGGAAATGATGAAGAAACAGTATGTGCAAGGGTAGAGATCAGGACAAAAGTATGACGTATGCCAGGAACTAAAAGTTCAATTTTTTTAAAGCTATGGGCATCTTAAAAAAAAAACAAAAACAAATCTCAAGTTCAATTTTTTTAAGGCCATAGACATTAAAACAAAAACCTAAATCTCAGATGGACCCCAATACACAACACATAGAACCCCAGATCTGTCTGTAGTCTGAGAACCATGGCTTTATAGGGCCTGGGCACTGGAGAGAATGATCCAGTTTAAGGATCCCAAGGCCTGCAGCCAGGTCCTGGGCATGAGCACAAAGCACCCTGCAAGGGAAGTGCAGATAAAAGCCACAGAGATGCAGCTCAAAGAAGCAATTACATGGGGCTGGGGTGGAGTCGGCACTTCACAGAGGAGGTGACTTTTAAGGGACAGGACATCAACAGGTAGAAATCAAAACTGCGACAGGAAAGTGCTGCATGTGGCTGAAGAACGGGAGGCGGAAAGGCGTGGTGGGAAGGACGGAGACCAGCTCAGGGGCTACAGCTATAATACGGACAAGAGATGACAATGATCCTGAATAGAGAACCGGAGGTGGGGTGGTGAGAAGCAGATGCAGTCAGAAGATCTCTCAAAGGAAGACTGGGCAGAGTTTATGACAGACAGGATGGGGGTCTTCCAGGTCTGCAGCCTGAGCACTTGAGAGGATGGGGGGCCAGACTGGTCTTTGGAGAACAGAATTAAGATCCCATTGTTCTTCTGCTTAACACCCATGGATGCCTTCCTATCACACTTACAGTGCACTTCCAACTCCTTCTGACAGTTGGGCTCCATTATCCCTTGAACTTCATCTCACTGGCCTCTCTAGCCACACTGCCTGCTTGTGGCTCCTCAAACCACCAAATCCTCCCACCCATGCCTTCTTTGCATTTGGAATACTCTTCCCCTAGAACTCTGCACAGCTGGCTCCTCATCGATTAGGCCTCAGCTTCACTATCAACTTTGGAGGTCTTCCCTGAATCATTCCTTCTAGTGTAGCCACACACACCCCCAGACACGCCACATCTCATTACTCTGCTTTATTTTCTTTATAGTCTCTACTATTATCTGAAATTACCTTGGTTACTTCCATGCCATCTGTCTCTCCCTACTAGGACATAAGCTCCAGGAGAGCAAGGATGTCTTCTTGTTTATTGCAGCAGCCCCTGGGGCAGTGTCTGGCTAGTAGCTGCAACTCACTAAATACTTGTTGACTAAATAATGAATGAAGGCCCCGGCATTTAAGAGTAGAGTAAGGTTCTGATGTCAAATCTGGGTTGAATCTTGACTTTGTTTTGGGCAAGTTACTTATTCTCATCTCTCTGGGGATAGTAATAATTACCTCAATGGGGGGCTATTCTGAGAATTAAATAGTATATGCTTAGGACACTGCCTTGCACTTGGTAGTTGCTCAATGTTGTTCTCTTGAGGTATTCAGTAAATACTTGCTGTCTGACTGACTGGACTGACGTAGAATAAGTTGCAGAAGATCCATAGTGGCCACAGGATGGACACTCAAGATTATGGGAAAGTAGTTCATCTGGCTTCTCAGTTGCTGATCTCAGACCCTCTGCCAGCAATTCCTTTCACCTGGTTGGGAGGAGGTCTGGGTTTGACCAGTACAACACATACCACAGCTGTGCCACTGATGGACATCAGAGTTAAGGCAGAAGACAACAGTAAGAGCCCTGTGCCCAGTTTCCCCAGAGAGGAAACCCTCAAAGTAAGTTTGTCAGTCTGGAAGCTCCACGAAGGCAAGCTCCTGGGCTGCTTTGTGGACTTCTTACACAATAGGTCCTTGATAAATATTTATTGAATGAATAAACAATTTACTGACCCTGTAGCTCTGTCTGGGAAGGTAGAGTATCTCGGTGGAAAAAGCCCCACGCTGGCTTCTAAGCTTATTTCCTCTTTTATAAAATGGGGATGACAGTATGTATTTTCATAGGTTCATGTAAGGATTGAATGAGATAGTGAACAAGCAATGTTTAGAATAGAGCCCAAAACAGAGTAAATACCCAATCTTAGCTGTTTTTATTAGTAGCAGCAGCTATTATCTGGCTTTTCAGCAGAATTATCAACATCTCTGAGGGGGTGGACAGATCTTTGGATTCTGTTTCCTCCTCTGATTTCCTCTCCAAAGACAGATGACAGTGCCTTGTGCCACATCTATTCCTAGCTCTGCACTCTCTGTCAGCAATCATCACTATACACTATGATAGTCAATTTACCTGTCTTTCTCTCCCTCCTGATTGAAGTGAGTCCTTTGAAGGGAACGTGAGCCCTCTGACAGGGACATGGTGTCTTATTCATCTGGGTCTTATGAACACCTGCACAAAGATCTGAATAGAAATGGGACATAAGCCTCTTCTGGCCGAGATGACTGGGGATCATGGTGCCTCCACTGCATGTTGCTACCAGTTCTTGCGGAACAGAAGACCTCGCCACAAATAGTATTTTTTTTTTTTAATTTTTTTTCTTTCCAACTTAACCCTTGTAAAGTGAACAAATGGTATTTTTGAAAATGGGGAAAGGCCACAGAGATCTTAGGATCACAAGCCAGGTTTTAACAAAACCAATATATTCCCTGAGTATCCTCCCAATTACTTTCACACTAACATTTCTTTTCTTTGCAGCACTGATCACTATCAGACATTCTCTTATTAGTTTATTTGTTTACAATCTATCTCCTTCCACCATGACTTAAGCTCTCATAAGTTTAAGAACCATATCTGCTTTATTCGCCATTGTATATTCTTAACACCTAGACCTATCTGGGCACACAGTAGTCACTTAGCAAATGTGCTACAAGGACATTAAATGAAGTAATGAACACAGTTTCTTAAAAACTTCATTTTTGGCCAGGTGCAGTGGCTCACACCTGTAATCTCAACACTCTGGGAGGCTCAGGTGGGAGGATCACTTGAGGTCAGGAGTTCGAGATCAGCCTAGGTAAGAGTGAGACCCCATCTCTACTAAAAACAGAAAAATTAGCAGGTGCAGTGCTGCGCATCTGTAGTCGCAGCTACTCAGGAGGCTGAGGCAGGAGGATTGCTTGAGCCTGGGAGTTTGAGGTTGTAGTGAGCTATGATGATGCCACTGTACTCTAGCCTGGACGACAGAGTAAGATTGTCTCAAAAAAAAAAAAAAAAGGAAATTTATTTTAAAGGACAGATTTGGATGCTCTTAAAAATGCATAAGTATGTGAATGCACAAGATAATTCAAATATTTTAACACACAAAAATTAAGGTCATTTTAGGATCAACAACATAGAAGGCCCAAAACGATCCCTCCTCCACACCACCCTGTGGCTGTTTTTAATAGAGGGAACAAATCTAGTACATCAGGTAAGAGTGTTTATGATGTAGTTGAGAACAAGTTAGAGTCTGAAGACTAAGTTTTGAATCCCTTTGCTTATTAGGGTGTAAGTTTGATGAAGATACCTAACACTGTAAGAAGCTCAGCTTCACCATCTGAGAAGATAGTTCCTATCTTAGAATAGAAAATCAGAGGAAATGGCTGTGCAAGAGCCTGGCAAACTGTCTAGCACGGCGAGGAGGCGTTACTGTTATCAGCTGCCAAGGCTTAAGCAAGAGAGCAAACCACCTCCCTCCAGCCAGGAGTCCTGGCTAAAAGGTAGCAAGCAGGACCCAAGCACCGGCTTCTCTCCTGACAAAGGCTGAAGCTATACAAAGAACCCTGGTCTAGGACGCAGACATTTTAGAACTTAAACTCCCTTTGCAACTGAGATGGTTGTGAGACAAAGGGTTGGACTCCCAGATCTCTGGGGGCCCTTCCAATGTAGACATTCTCGGAGGCGGTGTGATCCCAACCAAACTCCCGTTCCTATTTCCAGACCCAGCAGGGTGTCTTCCGTATGGTAAATAATCAGTAAGCCTTCGCTCAATGAGTGAATAAACCAGTAAATGAATGAATGAATGAATGATGTCTCCTCAGATGCAATTAGGGGGCCCATTTCTGTACCCCTGAGGCTTCTGAGCTTCCCAGCCACACGCCCTTTCCTGCCGGTCTACAACTCTTTTTCTGGACGGTGTAATAGCGGGGAGCGTGTTCCAACCATTAGCAGAAATGGGCACTGCGCGGTTCGCGGGATTCTGGTGACTGCGCTAGGTATGCGGGCCTCACCCGTGGGAAGGGCTTGCTGCACGTAGGGGCCGGAGGCTGGCCCGGGTTCGCCCAAGGATGCCACGCGAGCTCCGGCTCTCCCCGGGCCCTCCTAGTCCCTGGGCTGATTCCGAAGAAGACTCACGTGAGCACCGGGATGGGCGTCCACACCACGCAGTAGGGGAAGCGGCTCCGCTCCACGTCCATGGTGACGCCGCCGGAGCCGTGGTAATGCTTCATGTCCGTCTCGGCCGCCGTCGGCGCCTCCACTTCCGCCATCCCGGGTGGGGGTGGTGGCGGCGGCAACAGGAGAGGAGAACTCCCTTCCGCTTCCGCCGCCATGCTGCGCGCGCCCCGCTCCGGCTGGTCCCTGCTTCGTCGCCGCTCGTCCCCATGGCGTCACTTCCGGGAGGTAGGGTCCGCCCCACTTGGCCTTCCCCCCGGGAATTGGAGTCGCGTCCCTCTGGCCCCAGCCGGCCAGCCCCGCGACTTTGCAGCCTACACTGTGCGGATGCCCTCAGGCAGCTCGCAGTCTAGTGCCGGAGACCAACAAAGAACTCTATAATTCAGTACACTGAGGGCTCCTAAGAGGTGTGGTACAGTCGCTATTTATTGAGCAATTTTTAGGTGCCAAGCACTTGACTTGCATTGTTTTAAATCTCCACAAACTGATGAGACATGCAAGTTTAGATATTTCCCTCCTGTTACAAGTGAGAAACTGAGGCTCAAAAGGGGCCACGATTCAAACACAGGTCTTTATATATCTCCCTTGCCGTTTTAATTCTGTGGCCTCTCACGGGGTAGTGCAGCATGAAGGACAGACTAAAACGTGTGTGGCGTGTGTGTGTAAGCAGGGAAGACTGGCTGGAAGATATTTGAGCTGAGTCTTGACGTTTGCCAGGTTGCACGGGGATGGGGGTGATCTGATCCCTTCATTGTACAAATGGGAAAACAGGCTCAGGGAAGTTAGTTGTTTGAGATCACACACAATCATACTTAATAGAGAGGCCAGGCTCAAATCTTGGAGTCTTTTGGCTTTTTCAAGGATGCCAGGATAGACAAAGGAAAGGAAATCTGCCGGAGTTGGGGAGAGCCAAAAGTAAGAAAAAAGGAGGCAGCCTCTAAAAATCAGGCTCAAAAACAAAACAAAACAGAATAAACAATAAAAATAAAACTCAGGCTAAAGGAAGGTATGGACAAATCCACTCAGGAAGGTGGGAGCTCCATCATTTTGGGCAGGTCTTCCATTGAATTACCGTCCCTCAAAGCTGATCTATGGAAAGTCTGCTGTCCAGCTTTTAGCACCTAATATTTTAATGCAATTTTTTGGGTGTATCTGTCTCTGCTATGGAACGCTAAGGTCCTTGACTGTAGCCAGTACAGTTCCTGGTGCACAGGAAATGCCCACTAGATGTTTATTGATTTAGTGAATGACTGAATGAATGGATGTTTTATAAAGACCTCACAGATATCACAGGTGAAAATAATTCTAACCCACTCAAAATTCTTTGGACACGTTTGTACCTTTCCTGTGACCTTTGTGTAGTGTGTGATCCTTGAAGGGCAGCAACCAGCATCCAGCACAGGTTTGGAATAGGTGTGCAGTACATAGTTGAGAATAAATTACTTCTTGATTCAGTCACTGTAGTTATCTAATCTCTTTTGGACAACTGGCTCCAAGGAAAGTCTGTGCCTGAGACATCCCTCTACCATGATAGTCTACCCGTAATTCTAGCACAGGGATGGTAGCTGTCCTTTAAACATTCATTGTATGTATGGATGAATAAACAACCAATGTAAATCTCTCAGGGCCTGCCACAAATTTGGTAGTACTAATACAAGTACCGCATTTAATCTGACAATCTTCAATGGCTTTCTGTTGTATTTAATATAAAGCACAAATGGCTTACAAGGCCCTGCATCATCTGGACCATGCCCCTTTCTTACTTGTTCACCCTACTACAGCCATCCTGGCCTTTTTTCAGTTCTTCTCATGTGCGATGTTTTTTCATATTCTAGGGACTTGGCATACACTGTTCCCTTCTGCGTGAAATAAGCCCCATATTAAACTGGCTGACTTCTAGTCATCCCTCAAGTCTCAGATTAAATGTCATTTTCTCAGAGAGCCTATCCCTGGCCTCCCAATCTAAATTAGAAAATCCCTGTTAATCTCCCTTGGAACATCAGGTTCTTTTTCTTCATAGCACATTTGTACCTTTGTACTGTTTCCACTAGACTGGAAACTCCTTGAAGGCAGACTATATTTGTCTTGTTCACTTATGTAAACCCAATGCCTAGTACAGTGCCCAGCACATGGCATTTGTTTAATCAATATTCATTAAATTGAATGAATGGTAAATACTTACAGGCTTGGCATCACATGCTGGCTAAAGACAGTCTGAGGGCAGGAAGCTAGCTTGTTACCTGCTACCTCTCAGTGTCTCAAACCTTTTTTAAGTGGCTCAGTGCTCAGGAGGCTGGTGGGCACAGTGCTCAGATGTAGGATATGACCAGAGAGCCCTAGCTCTTTTCCCTGTGGCAGCATCATCCTAACTTTGGCCTAGGCAGCTGCAGAAACAAGAACTTGAGAAGGGCCAGGTACATGGAGGGAGAAGACAGTTCCTTCTCTGACTTCTCTGGGGTCTCTCCCCTAGCTTCTACCACAACCCCTGCTGTCACATCACCTTGGTTCTCTTGGCCAATGTAAAAGCCTCCCTGGCCTGTACCCTTTCCTCCTCTGCTACTGCTTCCCTTAACACCCATAGACAGATGGGAAATCTCCATCAAAGACCAACTCTTCCTTCCCGGCTCAGAGGATCACAGCAGGGTCCTGGAAGAACTCCTCTTATGGCGAGCTTGGGACAGGATTGATAGGTTTCAGAGCTACCCCTCCCCCAACAAACACCCTGACCTAAAATAGAACTGACCATCTGGATCCACTTATGGGGCTGGCCTGGGGAGGGAAGGATGGCAGAGCTGGAACTGTCAAGCTGTGAAACCGTTGAGGGTAAGATCCTGCTTGTTTGAAGGGTGAGCTTGTGGCACTTCCTCTCTTAGTGGGAATCAGGGCACCCCCTCAACTGGCCCCAGGGCTCACAAACTTCCTCTTTCAGGCCATCTCACACGTGGCATTCAAGGCACCCCATGATCTGGTCCCAATTTTCCTTCCCAGCCTCATTTCTCCCGGTCTTCTTCAGGACTTGCTTGGAGTTAAACCCCACTGGCCCATTTGCCCTTCAGAGAATGAGCCCTGCACTTGCACTTCATACCTCATGTCTTTGCTCACACTGTTCCTTCATCAGGAATGCCCTTCCCCTCCTGTTCTACCCTTTCAAGGTTTTAGGCAAATGCTCCCTCTTTGCTCCCAGAGCACGAAGCCTGTGTTTCCACCTATTGAATATTCATGTGTACTTGCATTAGCATTAGGTGTTTACATGTGTTTCTTCCAAGAGACGGTGAACTCCTTGAGAAGGGGACTGACTGGATCTATTGGTCCCTGTATCCAAGGTACCTGGCAGATAGGACAGTGCTCAGGGAATGTCACTGGAGTTATTTCTTGACCATAGATGGTCTGCTTAAGGGATCTGGGGAAGAATCACCTCAATCAATAATCCAGGGAAACAGGCTGAACCAGGGGCTAGGCCGCAGGTTGGAGGAGCTGCTGGCCATGATGCAGTGTGTGTGGCATGTGGGAGGGCAGCATCCTGTCTTTGGCAGCCTTTCTACTTAGCTCAGTCATTACAAGCTAAGCTACGCCTCTCTCCATTATGACCCCAAACCTTTCCATGGTGGGAAGGGGACCAAGGGAGCCAAAAGAAACCATTTGAGAACAGACCCTCTGGCCCTTTAGACATCAGAGTTCACAAAACAACTTCCTTTTCCACTCCATTTTATAGATGGGCAAAGTTTCCCAAAGTTATAGAAACCACAGCTAGGACCAGAACCTAAGTCTCCTACTTTGGAGTAGGCAGTAAAGTATGATGACAAAACATGTGGGCTCAGGAGTCAGCCAGACAGTCCAGTGTTTGAACCTTAGCTCTGTCAGTGGCTGTCACACCTTAGGAAAGTAGCAGAATCTGTCAGGGCATCAGTTTCCTCATCTCTAAAATGGGAAACGATAATTCACATCTTGTAGGGGTTTTGAGGTGTTTGCTAGGCTACATCTGAACAGTGCCTGGCCTAAATAAACATTTAATGTCATCTATTATAGTAGTTAACACTACACATCACAATTGTAGGACCCTTAACCACTTAAAAAGCACTTTGATGTGCATAATTTAACACAACACAGCGAGCTAACCAGGTAGGCATGATCCCCATTTTACCCACGAGAATGAGCCCAGAGAGGTTCAGAAACTGCCTAGAGTCTAAGCGTATCTTACAGTTGAGGTTCTGAACCCTGACTCTGGGCTGTCTCTTCTGATGATCCCTTTTAGGGCCCATTAAAGAGTGATGAAGGGAGAACAGCCTCAGAGTCTATAAATCACTATAAAATAGGTATAAACTATGGCCTCATTAGGACCAGGACTAATTTTATATTAAAAAGAATTGGGTAGGAGCAGGAGGCAGAACCACCGAGTGGCACATGCCTCTCTCCTGCCTGCCAGATCTGTTGGTATCCGTAGGCCCAATAACAAGCCTGCCCAACGATGGCAGAATATGCTGGGGAGGACTCATGTTTCAGTGAAATCCAATGTTCAAGGACCAGGCACAATCCCCTATTTGCTATTCCCCAACTTCCAAATAACCTGGAGGCTCTAGGAGGGCAGGGACTATCTGTTATGTGCATTTTCATTAAGCCAGTGCCCAGCCCTGTGCCAGGTACACAGTAGGAATTCAAAAAGTATTATGACTCATAATAAGAAAGTGGGTTTTTAAGAACTGGACGAGGAATCCGGTATCCAGTCCTGACTTTGCTTCTAATTTACTGGGGGTCCTGGGATAAGCCCATCCCTTTTCCTGTCCCTCTTTGAAACTCTTTGTTCCTATTTGTACAATGTGGAGATATGGCTAGATCAGTGATTCTCAGCTCTGGCTGCATATCAGAATGAATCTGGGATGCTTTAAAATAATGGGTGGCTGGACTGCACCTCAGGTCAATTAAAACACAATCTCTGAGGTTTTAAAAGCATCCTGGGTGGTTCTGATATGCAGCTAGGGCTGAGAAGCTTTGAGCTGGTTGACTTCTCATCCCCTTTTAAGTTCTGCAACCACATTTGGGCATGCTCCTAAGCACAGAGACAGGAGCAGGCCTCTGGAGCCACAGCTGCCTACCACAAACACAACTTCACACATCTGCTTTACCATACGTTCACTGTGTGGGCCTATCTGAGCCCCAGGCTATCTGCAGGGCTGGTGAGAGCTTTAGTGAGTCACATACGTGGAAGCA